GCAAGCCTTACATAATTTAGAAATGTGTATAAATAATAATTATCATAATATTTTAAATACATCATATTTTCTTGATGTAATACTTACTCAAAGTTTATTGTAGAATGCGACGCAATTCACTTCGAAGGAAAAACAAAATGCATTAATGCGTCCCGCATTAAACAAAGTTATTACGAAATATCTATCTTTTATCTTTTGAGCTTTTGAACATTACGATATTGAGACGTTAGTAACAGATAGTTTAAATTTAACTGTTTGCCTTGGGTAGCTTTCTACGTATAACTGATTTTATGAAATTGAGACCGGCCGTTAGTCGATAATTTTCGTTTAGGGAGTCCCTTGCTTACTCTTCTACTCAATTTTACTTCATAAATTTGCTTTGTCACTCTTTCGTCATTCATTTTTTCTACGTGTCGAAACCACTAAAACATTCTCTTTGTCACAACATATTGCAAACCATACTTTTCTCTCTTTCACACATTTTCTCACCTAATCATTAAAAGTAACTGCTAACATACATATTTATGACAACATTTCTACAGCAATCATTTTACTCTCATGCTTCATCTTTCCACACCCAATTTTTACCACCATATATTAACACTTTCACTGTCCGCTTTTTGAACGCAATAAACGATAGCACTGACCTATATGTAGAGCACGGGACAGAGAAAGTGTTAAAGTAGGGACTAACATTGCATTCTGAATTACTATACGTTCTTTCATTGACACTTTGTGACTAATCACACTAGAGTGAAGAGCCCCATTTACTCTGTGTCCTCCATTCACTCTATACCTTATATGTCTACCATCCCTGCTAAACACACCACCTTGATACACAAACTCATCCACTTGCTCGACCAATTCCCGTTCTGTTCTTATTTCACATATCGTTTTACTTTCTTGCCTTTCTAAAACTATCACTTTCATCTTACATGTGTTCACTTTGGCAGAAATTGTCTTTAAGGCATTAAGTCCGCCATATGCATTTATTTTTGTACATAAAACTTTAAATAAATTAATATATAAGTATATACAGTGTGTAAGTGGAAACACCGTTGTCACTGAAACCATAGGTAGTTGGCTTTAATATAAAAACATTTATCCGATTTAAAAAAAAAACGCTATTTTCTTTCATAAAATTAAAATAGTTTCTGTCCGACACCGTCCGTAAATTCATGGACCCTATGCGGCCGAGTGACGTAATCACTGTAAAGATCACCGCTTGCCCTTGCTACCTACACAACATTTCAATAAAAACACAATGGTACATATAGCCTATGATGTAACTTTTCCTTCGTACTTTCTTACTGGCTTAGGACAGTCAAAAATTCCTACCCTTTGTGTTGCGTGACGAGTCCAAATTAATGTAAGTTAGATTTAACAACAAAGAAAATTAAACATTAATAATAGTAAATCACTAGGTAGGATTTTTGGCGTATTTAAAAGGTTAATCATAATGTTATGCACACACGGCTACACACTAAGCTATGCAAATCCAATGGGTAGCTCGCCGTCCAATCAAGGACCCGGGGTCCCGGGACTGTCTTAGCAAGATACCGCGGCCTTGGAACGCAAAGGGCATTTGAAGCTTAAGCTGACCGTTCATTGTACGGAAAGATCATACAAAGCGAGGCCAAAACAAACTGGATTTGTATAGCTTGATGTGTAGCCTGATTGATTGATTATTTACACTTACCTATTAAATAAAATCCTCGTAAATGAATCCCATTTTGATCAGCTTTTACATTAATCGTAAAAGCTGTTCAAAATGCGATCCATTTACAGCCACGCATGCCTCCGCACGTTTCCGTAGATTGTTACGCACTGTAGGAAGCACAACAGTGTTATTTTTTAAGTCTCGAAACACACTAAGAATTCGCCTTTTGAGTTCCGACGTATTACGGAACTTAGTTGCATACACTCGGCGCTTCTTTTCTCCCCAAAGATAAAAGTCCAGCGGGGTAAGGTCGGGCGAACGCGCTGGCCACGCAACTGGCCCTCCACGTCCAATCCAACGCCCAGGAAACTCCTCATCCAACATAGCCTTGATTTGCAGCTGAAAATGTGCAGGGGCACCGTCATGTTGGTAGTAGAGGTTTCTCAGTGAACGAAGAGGCTTATTTTCCAACATCCTGTCGAATACATGTCGTAAAATAGCCATGTACGACTGTGCATTCAAATGGCCGTCAATAAAATAAGGTCCAAGAAGTTTGCCGTCTAGAATTCCCGCCCACACGTTTACGGAAAAACGGTGATGATAACTGTTTTGCCGTATTCGGTGTTCGTTTACCCGACTCCAGTCATGTTCATTACGAACATTGTAAATGCCCGACCTTGTAAACACTGCTTCGTCCGTAAATAAAATGGAAACGTTATCAAAGTTTTGAATATGCCGTTGCGAAAATACCACCCGCGGTATGTGGTCGTTTTCATTTAACTCTTGAACCGGCTGAAAATGATACGGATGTTGACGATCAATGTGCAGAATTTTCCAAATTGTCCAGTGAGAAACACCGAAAATACAGGCCGCCCGCCTGGTACTCTCCTCTGGGTTCTCCGCGAAGAAATCCAAGATACGTTCTTGAAGGGGTAACTGGCAGCTGCTGGTTGCCACGCCCCTGAGCATGAACCGGCACGGTAAACTGTCCATAGCTACGTAACCTTTGCGTGGCCGCCAACAAAGTTTCACGATTTGGCACAGGTTGTCCAGGGAATGATTCTGCGTACATTCGTCGAGCCTCGTTCACATTGTCGTGACTTAACGCATAAAGTTGGACCATTTCGGTCCACTCACGTTTGTGTACGACATAATTCCAAACTAAACTAAACTACACACTCGCAGAAAACTACGAGGCACGGCGCGGGGAGCGCTTATAATTCAAATAAACACGTACATTCGCTTACCGAAGCAGCGACTGACTGACAAAATGAAACAGTGACGCTATGGACTGTCGGCTGATGGCCTTGACCGCTCAGCTGTTGCGCGATGCCCTGCCTACAATATGTTGACTATAATTTTGTATATGCCTAGGGTGAAATAATTCTAAGGAAAAAATGAGATTTGACTTAAAAAAAATTTTGTTATTTTTCATTGAATTTACGTTCTATAAGTGAAACCAAACCACTGGTTTCAAGGACAACGATGTTTACACTAACACCCTGTATACAGGTGTAAGTGTAAACACCGTTGTCACTAAAACAATAGGTAGTTGGCTTTGATATGAAAATATTTATCCGAATTTAAAAAAAAACGCTATTTTCTTTCATAAAATTTAAAAAGTTTCTGTCCGACACCGTCCGTAAATTCATGGTTACCCTATGCGCCCGAGTGACGTAATCACTGTAAAGATCACCGCCCGCCCTAGCTACCTACACAAAATTCCAATAAAAACACAGCAGGTACACATAACCTGTGATGTAACTTTTCCTTCATAATTTCAGGATGGGCAAAAATTGAGGAATTAAGGAAAAATTGAGATTTTACTAAAAAAATATTGTTATTTTTCATTGAATTTACGTTCTTTAAGTGAAACCAAATCACTGGTTTCAAGGATAACGGTGTTTACACTAACATCCTTTATATTTCCCTTATACGTGACACATATAAGTAATGGGTGTTTTTTTAGAGGTATAGAACTTTAAGTTGGCAACACTTTTTTAACTGGCGGCCATTTTGTCAGCTGTCAAGTGACTTATGTTTAGTTTGGTTTGGCATTTCAAGATGAATAGACTGACGCCGGAACAACGCTTCCAAATTGTACAAATTTATTTTGAAAATCGTGGTTCTGTTCGAAATACGTATCGCGCATTACGTCCATTTTACGGTCAACATAGTCGTCCATCAGAGCAATTAATTCGATTAACTATGGGACGTTTTCGCGCCACGTTTACTCTAAATGATACGCATCCACAGAGATGTGCAGTGCGTACAGAAGAAGTTATTGCTGCTGTAGAGCGTAGCGTAGAGTAAGACCCGAATCAGTCTATCCGCCATCGTGCACAGGAATTGGATATGTGTCCATGTCCACTTTATGGAAGATTTTGCGGAAAGATCTTGGTTTGCGTGCTTACAAAATCCAACTCGTGCAAAAATTGAAGCCTCGCGATCACCTAGCAAGGCGTAGGTTCGGTGAATGGGCCCAAAATAAGATTGCCGACGATCCCGATTTTCGTAAGCGAATTTTGTTTAGCGATGAAGCTCACTTTTGGTTGAATGGATATGTCAATAAAGAAAACTGCCGTATTTGGAGTGATGATAATCCTCAAGTGTAGACACCGTTACATCCAGAAAAACTGACTGTGTGGTGTGCTTTATGGGCTGGTGGAATAATTGGTCCGTACTTCTTTAAAAACGATGCTGGCCAGAACGTTACAGTAAATGGTGACCGCTATAGAACGATAATTACTGACTTTTTGAACAAATGAACAACCATGATGTGCAGGAGTTGTGATTTCAACAAGACGGCGCAACATATTACACAGCTCGTGTTACAATTGATTTATTGAAGGAAACGTTTGGTAACCGCATAGTTTCACGTTTCGGACCCGTGAATTGGCCTCCAAGACCGTGCGATTTAACGCCGCTTGATATTGAGGAAATGTGAAGTCGCAAGTCTACGCCGATAAGCCCGAAACGTTTGACCACTTGGAGGACATCATTCGGCGCGTTATTGCCGATATACTGCCACAAATGTTGGAAATAGTCATCGAAAATTGGACCTCCAGATTAGACTACGGCCGAGCCAGCCGTGGCGGTCATATGCCAGAAGTCATATTTAAATTATAATGCCAGAGGATTGTCTTTCGAATAAAGTAAATTTCATGTCAATAAAAAATCATGTTTTCATCATTCCATTTCAAAGTTCTATACCTCTAAAAAACATCCGCTACATTTGAAAATTTTTGAGTTTATTTTGAAGTGTTATCTAAAATTAAATCAACTTACTGTAGATATTATCTCTTAGTGTTATAATAACATACAGTTGATTTTATTGCAGGCCCTCAAGGAGTGGATAAGGTATTGTTGGTGTATATGGAAATTATCAGCTGGGCATAAGATACTTTCGAATTTATTTAAAGTGTTGTATACGTGTAAAAATGATGATTTAGTAACTGAGATACAGAGCACGATTATTATAATAATCAGATTATGTAGTGACGACGATAGAAAAAACATTACACATGAATTAGACCTTATCATTTGTACAATGGACAATGTGTTTTTGAACAGGATAAGTGCAATAAAAAAATGTATACTTTAAACCAATGTTTTTATGTAATAATCCAAATAATATGGTTTTATTGTACCGTCTGGACTTTTACCGCCAGAAAAATATAGGGTGTAATAGGTGAATATATATATATATATATATATATATATATATATATTTTTTTTTATTAGAATATGGACAAACAAACACACAGTCCACCTGATGGTAAATGTCTATCTTCAGTTAATAATCAAAATGCAGATTATCAATGAATTCTTGGCGCGAATCCATACCCTGCAGCCGGCCGTTTTGTAGTAGCCGCACCGACCTCATCGCCGCGTTGGCTATTTTTGATACTCTTTCGCAGGTCGAAGCTTCACTGATACATCTGCTGGGAACTTATTCAACCTGCGAACCCGAAAGGCGTGAAGACTACCGATAAACTTTCCATTGAGCCACGACTACATGCTATTTTACTACCGTCTCGCACGCAGACTCGGCGACGTCCAGCCTCCCCCTACAAGCTAGTTTCCGGAATGGCTTTAGTACTATAGAGCACTTACAAACCCTTCGGCAAATTGTGCATGTAGTAAGTTCGAAGAGTAAGGTACCTGCGGGTAATAAGGCCTAGCTAAGGAAAATTTGAATAAAACGTGAAAAATATCCAATTTGGTCTACATATTTTAATAAAAATCGTTGGAACTAATACAGTTTCTAAAAAGCGAGAACGAAAAATTGTAACATTTGCCATAAACAAAATTAAACATTTCTAAAAACTTCTAGTAGGCCTTATTTTACTATGGTTTGATAACAAGGCCTAGGTACTTCTTTAACGAATTCAAATTATCAAAATATTCGTAATATATTTAATATTTGTGATCAATAATTACAAAAATGCAGCAATTACGACTTAAAGTTCTAACAAAAAATATAAACTTCCTCCTATTACAGCACTGAGTCAAGTCATTATTATAATCATGAACAAATTGAGAAACAACGCACTCCTCGTGATTATCATCAGTGCTTCGGTTGTGTCTCAAGTAATCGAGTTAGATGAGTGTTAGGTTGAGTTGAGATTTGGATTGATTTTTGGGTTGAGTGTTCTCTCAACCGAATTTTCGTCGCAGCAGCCAGTCTCAACGGAAACTAGCCTGTCTGCACACATCATCAAATCGCAATCCAACACGGTCCGATTTGCTTAGGTGCAGGACCAATAATTTACACATAATTTTTAATAGCTTCTAATGTCGAAGCCTTAATTCTTCGACACATTTTACCTTTGCATTGATTGTACAGCTGAAACCAGGTCGTTTTCTGACTACGATATTATTTTAGTAATAAAAGCGTACGATTTATTTGCATTATCAATATTTTTAAAGAGATATAAAATACATTTTAAAACAAAAAAAAATTGCACATGGAGAGGGAGTACAATAAGGCCTTTGGTGAAATTTAGTAGGCCTTAATAACCGCCGACCATGTCATCATCATCATTACAGCCCTTCACAAGTCCACTGCTGGACATAGGCCTCCCCCAAGCAATGCCACAAAGCACGGTCCTGAGCCACCCGCATCCATCGACTTCCCGCATGTCTTACCAGGTCGTCACGCCATCTAGTGGGGGGTCGCCCTACACTACGCCTACCGGTACGAGGCTGCCACTCGAGAACCTTTCTTCCCCATCGGTTATCGGTTCTTCGAGCTATATGGCCGGCCCATTGCCACTTCAGCTTACTAATCCGTTGGGCTATGTCGGTCACTCTGGTTTTACTGCGGATATCCTCATTTCTGAGTCTATCACGCAATGAAACTCCGAGCATAGCCCTCTCCATAGCTCGCTGAGCGACCTTGAGCGTCCTCATACGGCCAGCAGTGAAGGACCACGTCTCAGTTCCGTAAGTCATCACTGGCAACACGCACTGGTTATACACTTTAGTTTTCAGAGATTGAGGTATACCTGACGAGAAGATGTGTCGTAATTTCCCGAACGCTGCCCAGCCGAGTTGAATCCGTCGATTGACCTCTCGGTCGAAGTTGGACTTACCTAGTCGGACTATTTGTCCCAGGTAAACATACTCGTCAACAACTTCGAGCATAGTGCTCCCAACAACTACCGGCATAGGTGTGACATGGACATTAAACATGATCTTTGTTTTGTCCATGTTCATCTTAAGACCTATCCGTTGGGAGACACCATTGAGGTCATTGAGCATAGTGCTAAGGTCCTCCAGCGATTCTGCCATAAGGACTTTGGTTGGGCTGAAAAGTTCGTATCGTCTTTATGAGATGGCGCCACTAGAATAAAATCCATATCATTTTTAGGTAGTACCAACCTTCAAAAGAAACGTGTATAAATTTGACAGCTGTCTGATTATTAGTTTGTAAAGATGGATTAGCTCTGACAGCGCGCGACATGTTATACTCCCGTTCCCTCAGGACCTTAATGGCGGGAAAATTTGTAAGTTAGGAAATTTTTTGCTATATTGCAAATTTTGCTATATTTTCACTTTGAGACAATATTTATGGATAAAACTTACAGGAATTCTTGTTGAATGTATAAACTATCGAATAAAATTATTTTTGGTTGCTAGAAATTGTAATAAAATACATAAATTACCCTGTATAGCATAGTAGTAGTATATACTTCAATTTTAGTGACAAAATTACTACTAATTTGAATTCTACACTTTTGTTTTTGGAGAAATTTATACGAAAATGTTTGGAAATATGTATATTTTTATGTTTTATGTGTTTCCATTCGTTACTCATACCAAAATATTAAAAAAATAATAATAATATGTATTTCTAAAATATGTTTGTGTGAATTTGAAATAAATACAACGTCATGTTATTTGAAATATGTAAGAAAACTATTTTTACTTACATTTTACACTAAAAATAAATGAGAATTTGAAAAATAACACATTTATGACCCACCCGCCAAAATGGGCCTTCCGGATTTTGAAGTACTTTTAGCAATTTACTTTTCACTTTTTATGCCACAAATTACATATCTACGTGTTTACTATATTACAAGGAATATAAAAAAGTATAATACTTTCGTTTTTAGTCCAGGCACAAATATAAAATTCTATAAAAAAGACGGAGCACCTTCATCAAAGCGACACGTGGAACGCCGAAAGTTCAGAGTGATTTTTTTTCTTTCTAAGAAACATTGCCAGGTTATGGTTTAAAATAAAAGAGCATATCTTTGTCTTTGATACTATTATCTATTGCATATTGTCTTTGGTTTTGTTTTAAAGGAAAAAATAGTTTTTTCATAAGGCAGTACTTCTGATCTAATTCGACCTGTACTAGAGCCGACGTTGCCGGTATTGTATGATATAATTAGATACGTAGCCGAGTGAACGTCTTACCGATATTTGTCAGTATTAGTTAATATGAATATATTCGTCAAGTGGTATTATAATATTTAAACTAGTATATGAATATTACTAATATCTTAATATAACGGTTATAGGTATCACTATTCTATTCATGTAGGTAATAAGCTTATTTTACCAAGCAATCTTATTAGTTTTTATACGAATGTATGCTCGGTTTATATGCTTTGATATATATTAATCTTATTAAATAAATGATATTGTGAGGAATTGGAATAATAATAGTAATAATAAAATATTTATTTCGTCGAACATTAATGTTACATTATATGATCAGTTATAAAAAAATAAAAAACAAAAGTTTTATAAAATGTGCATATGAAAATTTTATTTTTTATTCGTGTGTAAAAACATCAATTTTTTCACCTTTTCCGACGACAGACCAGTTCGTCGGTCAGAAATTAGTTCCCCAGATTTTGAAAAAATCCTTTCGCAAGGTACACAAAAGTGCTGTTTGAATACCTTGCTGAGGTTAGGGTACAAAAAAAAATGTTTACGCCACCAATCATTGGGGCTTGCATTCCTTGGTAACATTTTATCATTTATAAACCTCCGAACCTCAGCAATAGCTATTGCTGTTGGTGACTCCAGTATATGAACGTCTTGAATGTCAATATCCGCCCAAATATCTATGAAATTATATGGCTTGCTGCTATCTTTTGATATTCCGGTTTCTGTTGATGTAGTCGGCGCTGTTGACGTTATCGTTGACCGTGATTCCTGTCTAGCACTTTCTTTATTTATCTCAATAACTGCCATTTCGACCACCCTTTTTTTGGCTGCTTCGGCGGTTCTTTTATCAATAAAAAATGCCATTTTAGATCTTGGGTCGAGAAATGTAGCTATTCCGAAAGTACCGCTCATCTCCATATTACTCAGTCTTGTCAGCAAGTCAGGTACTATCCCATTGCATGCAGTAATTTAACAACGGAATGTAGTGTTTCATCGTGTGAAATTTTATTCTCTATTAAATATTATGACAAGACTACCTGTAAGATATTTTTCTCCACTAATCTGGACAGTAACTTGCTCTAACGGTTTTAAAACTGTGCATAAATCTGATCACAGTGTCCATTCATCGGCACTAATATTTTCAAGGCAAGTACTGCTAGCGGAGTCTAAGATTGCCAATGTACTTGTTACTGATTCCTTTAACAATAAAGCTCTTTCTAGCATGTAAAAGGTGGAATTCCATCTGGTTGCGACATCTATTATCATTTTTTTGGTTGTGTTACATTATTATTTACTTGGTATTTAAGGAGTTTTTCGACAGCCGTGTTACTTCGCCTGAAATGAGTCACAATGTTTCTTAATTTAGTCAAAAAAATTCGGCTTCCGATATCATTAGACCATTTTTGGCTATCAAATTAATTGTATGTACAAAGCATCCAAAGTTTTTTAAATTAAGATCTTTAATGCAGTTTTGAATATTTGGAGCATTGTCAGAAACAACTAATTAAATTTTTTTGTGAGGTTCCAGTCGTTTATGACCTCATTCAACTCCGTACTCAAATTATTTGCTGTATGCGGCCCAGACAAAATGCGACATTGTAGAAGATCAGTTTCTAAATTAAAGTTTTTATCTATGTAGTACGCTGTTACAGCTAAGTAGCCCTCTTGTGCTCTTGATGTCCAGCAGTCTATTGTGAGACAAGCAGAATCGACATTTCTGAGTTCTTCTCTGACTTTATTTGAACAGTTGTGATATTCAGTATCTAACAATGTATTTGATACATGTTTACGACTCGGAAGCTGGTAAGCTGGGTTTAGCTTTGTTACAAAATTTTGGAAATACCCATCCTCAACTATCGAGAACGGCAGAAAACTTTTAGAAAACAATAACATTAAGGGTAATATAGGTAAGAGATAGTCAGCTCAAATTCTAATTTCGTCGCCATTTGCCCACGCGTCGTATGCTATGTACCGACATGTTTGTAATCACTAATACTGTAAGTAGAAAGGTCGTTAGATACTTATTTCATTAGGTTTATCATATTTATGCCTGTTTCTTAACGCCAAGCCAGTCGCTTCTTATTTTTATTACGGTTATTTCCCATTTTAATTTTACGTCGTCCTGTTAAGTAATGTATATTCTGATCGTAAGCGACACAACTTCTCGCTTCAAAAGCCGTAGCGATACTAACGGGGCGACAGGAATCAAGCTTACGCGCCGATAGTTTAGGTAATTTCTTTTTACAGTGAAAATAATGGTATTTTAAAAAAAGTAAATAACATAAGCACTGCTTTATAGTTAGTTCAGTTAGTATGCAAAGTTTCATGATCTTATTTAAAGTATTTTATGAATAACAGCGGTTTATTGTTTATTTTGGAGGTAACTTTGGATTTTTTCTATCGAGAAAATTTTACGAAATCGCGTTTTCGTCTAACATAATCCTTAACATTAATCCTCAACTTAACCATATATTTATTTCAAAATTAATGCTGCAATATTTTCGGCATAACGAAGGATCTTGCTAAGCCATTTGAGATTATATTTCCCCTTAATGAGTCATCTATTTCTTTTCTTTGTTTTGTCGATAACTTTTTAGTATTAGCGAACATTCTTAGGTTTGACTGAATTTTATTAGATGCTTGCGGGTCCGAAGTTGTCTGTACGCTTGGCACACTTACGGTTTGTGAAGATCCAGGTGGAGTAAAGTTATCTGCATGCTCAACGTCGGCGTTGGATTCAGTCACTGGTAAAGTTAGCGGCCTCGTTGGAATGACTTCTTGTTCTTGTCTTGAGTTTTGAGTAGGGACAGTTATAAAATGCTTGTTTTTTTAAATAAACATTTAATATATATTTTAATATATAATTTAAATTGGAAACAGTTCCTTTAAAACTAAATTTCTATTGGCAGATAGTACAATTTGCAAGCTTATTTTCTTCAGAATCAACTGTGAAATAATTCCATACTTCACTTACTCGAGCGCGCTTCGTTTTTCTAATTTAAAGACTTTTTATTTTATGATAAAAATAAATATATGCCTTTGCTTTTAATCGCTTTAACACTCAGCAAACTGAACTAAACTTATTAATACACTGTTTTAAGATAATTTTAATTTAATGTTCATGAATTTACGAATTACCAAATGTTTTACACCACTCTGTGCCCAGAAAGTCAGAAATGAATCGCATTGAATCAAAATACACCCTTTTGTTTATATAAGTATTATTGAAAGTGATTTTAAGTGGTTAGAATAAAAATAAATTCCACTGCACAAAACAAGGGCCCTTGTTTTGTATGTTTACACTTTAAGAATGACTTAAAATATATAACAATATGGTAACCCATTTCAATGAATGTCGATATGATTTTAACAAGAATATTGGGAAAATACCATGACAATAAAACTAATACATGCCCAATAATTAATAAAAATAAATAAATGTAAATATACATTATTAAGAACACTACTAGAGTCAATAAATTTTAAACATCTAGGTATATAGAGTTGTATTTGTAAAGTCTCGCTGGTCGCCGTGATATAAAATATCCAATTGAAAATAGTCGCTAAATGCTATACAATAGAGAACGAATACCCGCATTCGGTTAATTCATTTGGTCATTCGGTTCGCTCTTACGATACGAATGCTACATATTATATCCATCACGAATATCAGGTATCAGCAGTCGAGCCGAGTGATATTATCCAACCGATGTTGAACAGTTAGCGTATAAATGAAGTGAATATGGAATATTAGCATATCAAAATCCGTTGGATTACTGATCTACGAATCCATGTAATATTACTAATATCTTAACGAATACGAATATATCAGTTACATCTTTATTAGTTTGTGAGATACAGCATTTTGAGTGAAGCAACTTTTGTTATTTTGAAAAAAATGGATAAAAAGGAATTTCGTGTTTTAATGAAACACTATTTTTTGATGAAAAAAAGTGCTGTTGATACCAAAAAGTGGCTTGATGAATATTATCCGGACTCTGCGTCGGGCGAAGCAACCATTCGTAAGTGGTTTGCCAAATTCCGTACAGGCCATATGAGCACCGAAGACGATGAACGCAGTGGACGTCCAAAAGAGGCTGTTACGGACGAAAATATAAAAAAAATCCACAAAATGATTTTGGAAGATCGTAAATTGAGGTTGATTTGTATAGCTGGCACTCTAAAGATATCAAAGGAACGTGTTGGACATATCGTTCATGAATATTTGGGTATGCGAAAGCTATGTGCAAAGTGGGTTCCGCGCGAGCTCACAATCGACCAAAAACAAGAATGTGTCGATGCTTCAGAGCAATGTTTGGAGCTGTTCAACCGCAATAGAAGTGAACTTTTGCGTCGATATGTGACAATCGATGAAACATGGATCCACCACTACACTCCGGAGTCCAGTCGCCAGTCATCTGAATGGACTGCACGCGATGAACCGAATCCAAAGCGTGGAAAAACTCAACAGTCGGCCGGTAAGGTTATGGCGTCCGTATTTTGGGATGCACATGGAATAATTTTCATCGACTATCTTGGAAAGGGAAAAACCATCAACAGCGACTATTATATAGCGTTATTGGAGCGTTTGAAGGACGAAATCGCGAAAAAACGGCCCCATTTGAAGAAGAAGAAAGTGTTGTTTCATCAAGACAATGCGCCGTGTCACAAATCGATGAAAACGATGGCAAAATTGCATGAATTGGGCTTCGAATTGCTTCCGCATCCACCGTATTCTCCAGATTTGGCCCCCAGCGACTTTTTCCTGTTCTCAGATCTCAAGAGAATGCTCGCTGGAAAGAAATTTAAAGCCGATGAGGAAGTAATCGCCGAAACAGAGGCCTATTTTGAGGCTAAACACAAATCGTACTACAAAAATGGTATTGAAAAGTTGGAAGATCGCTATAATCGGTGTATCGCCCTCGATGGCAACTATGTTGAATAATAAAATCGAATTTTGCCAAAAAAATGTGTTTTTCTATAAAACGATACGAACTTTTCAGCCCAACTTATCGTCGGCAAATCGAAGGTGAGTGATGTACTCGCCATTGATGTTAATACCGTATCCTTTCCAGTCCAGTAGCTTGAAAACGTCTTCCAACGCAGCGGTGAAGAGTTTCGGGGATATAACATCACCCTGTCTTACACCTCTCTGCAGTTGGATAGGTTTCGAACTCTGGTTCTGTACTCGGATAGCCATCGTAGCCCTACTGTACAAACACTTCAGCACTTCGATATACCGACAGTCAACTTGGCACCGCTGAAGGGACTGTAGCACCGCCCAAATTTCGACGGAATCAAAGGCTTTCTCATAGTCCACATATGCCAGGCAAAGTGGCAGATTGTACTCTTCAAATCGCCGACCAAGTGTTTAAGAAAAACCAAATTTAAAAAAAATTACGACAATACGTTATTCAAATCATCAAGATCAACAAAGCATTTATTCACACAGATAAAGAATGTGATTTTAAATAGCTAACTGTAATATAACAAAACATATCAGATTTATTTAAACTGATTTTTATTATTGGTCCAGTGTGGACGTATCTTATGATAAATAATACAACTCTGGTGGCAGGACGCGGGGAAGCGCGTCTCTGCAAACTTGTAGAGACATTATCGTGTAATAGGAGTGTGGCGGCGCTGTTGTCGCGCCGCAAGCGAAACCTTATCTAATCCTTACAGCGGTGCCTAGTTGACCGTCGGTATATTGAAGTGCTGAAGTGTTTGTACAGTATGTCTAAGAGAGATCCCCTCCGAACGGGTTTCCGCCTTGTCGTGGCGGGGAAGCTTAGTAGCCATGGCTTAGTCACCCGCGGTGAACAAAGCGGAACCCACATCGCTGGCCCAAGGTGAAGGGCCGGCCCGAGGTGGCCACTCCGAGTGGGCTTGATGAGCCTACTTCGGATGTTTGCTGGTGGGCTACGGCGAGAGGGGTGTCCTCTCCCCTACCGCTGCAGCCAAGGTGGAAGAAGAGGAGGCGGAGGAAGAGGAGTGTAGGTATGGCGATGCGTCACTCGCCCTATCCTCCGCGACTCATACGGGGTCGCACCGTTGATGTGGTGGTGGTGGGGCTGCAGGGGGAGAGGTGTCGGTATTGCGAGACGCTGCTCTTCCTACCCTCTACAACCGAATGTCAGTTGGTGGCGGAGCCATAGACGAGATTCGCCGCTGGGGTCAGGAAGGCTAGTGCTTCTGGGTGCTCGTTTTTCCTGGCCCCATGGCCATCGCGCATCGGACACGAGGGCGTCCGCTGCGCAGGTATAGTTGAAGGCCGTAAAGGAAGGCGCGCCATGTGTTCTGGTGCGCCAAATCTTAGAAGAAGGGGAGGAGTAGTCCTCTTCCGAGGAGGCGCTGCCATGGGGCGGCCGACGCTGGTGGGGCCGCAGGTGTGTGCGAAAGCGTTCACATGGCCCTGCCAATAAGTGACGAAAATGAAACACCATGGGGTTTTAGTCGGTGAGAGTCCGACATAACCCGGCCCTGCCTCCGCAAGGCGGGTATGCGTAGGCATTTACCCATGCTAAAAAAAGATCTAAGAGGGATATCAGGGTACGAAACCTATCCAACTGCATCGATTTTCTGTATTTACGCTATAATTAACTATTTTCTACCATTATTCATGCTAAAAATTGGTGGCACCCAGTAAAAACTTTGTAAAGAGGTGACATGGAATGGGTTAAATTATTAAAATTTACAACATTATAAAAGTTTTATTTATTGTATTTAAGTATGCATATTATGCATTTTTCTATTATATACAACATGTAACATAATTAACGCACATCCTGAAAGTAGTTTGTTCAGAATCGTTTACTGAAATAAGTAAATTACAGCAGTATAATAAAGTAATAAAAGTAAATTACAGTCACACTAAACCTATACAGTCAAATCAATTTGAAATGGAACGTAACTCAAGGCAATAAGACTTTTAAAAGTGTAGTTTTATTTGTATTCATACAAATGCCGTCATTCAATACAAAATAAAGAAAAATGAACGAGGATTTGTACTGTGACCACAACATTCTTCCGAAATTAGTATAATTAATTTAATAAATAATCAATGCATAAATATATTTAATTAAGAAGTCAGTGTATACATTATGATTATAACACAATACACTAATTTAGGTGTCTGAGGGTATGCGTTAATTACATTACATGTTGTATAAACATAATTATATGTTACCAAATTAACAGAATGCCATGCCATAGATCAGCTGTTATGTATATTATTCAAAACCTCGCATATATTTTCTATTGAGGGTCTACTGGTTCTTTCAAGTTGTAAGCAACTTTCTGAAAGTTTATATATTTCTTCCGCCTTTGTCCATTTACTCACAACTGGATCTAGTACACTGTCAATTTCGCCCTTTTCTTTTATATGTTCTTTGACATAATCCTTGATATTTATTGTATCACTGTTATTATTAACAACTATGGGCTTTAAACCTGTTAGCAGCTCCAAAAGGACTATGCCGTAGCTATAAATATCTATTTTCTGTGTAATGGTTCCATTAAAGCCTTCAGGAGCCATATATGCTGAAGTGCCCATTGGTGATGTTGTAACGAAAGTTGATTCATATTGCTTAACCAGTCCAAAGTCACAGATCTAAAAACAAAACAACAATTTGCTTAAAAGGGTTAACAACAATAACAGACAATTTCTTGGTTAAAAATATCATATTATTTTAAATTGCACTTAATGTTAAAGGGAATGTTAATGTTATACCAATTGATTTGATAATTTCATCAAAAAAATCAATTAATAACGTTTACTATTGTTATTATCTAGCTTTCTTTTAAAATATAATTAAATGAAACTAAGAATCCGGGGAGATTAAACCCAAAAAAGCTTAAAGTTTTCATAGATGGTTCTAAAATAAATGAAGGTGCAGTATCTAGAACTTTCTTGTAAGACCTCAATATCCACATATGTACACAGCTGGGCACCCATAACACAATCGTCTTTTGGTCAAACTGTATGGGTATTATCCAAGCGGCCATAGCAATAGATGCCAGGAAGGTAAAACATTTCTCCATCAGAATACTAACCGACAGTATGGCGGTACTACTATCTCTGAGTTGAAATTTGGTGAATTCGGGACTAATAAAGACTAAATGAGATATTATGTAAACATAACTATGTGACTGCAACGTTTCAAGTGACAGTGAATGCAGGAGCAACGACGCAGCCGACGAACTGGCCAAGATAGGATCGGCTCTGGCCATTATAGGGCTGGAACCGATCATACCGATCCTTTTTGGTAACGTTCATTCACTACGTACGGTACGTAAAATATTTACTAATTAACACGGTCAGTTTTGGAAGAATCTAGTGGACTGTAGGCAAGCTAGGGAGGCCCTGCCAGAAATAAACAGACGTTTAATTAAGGTCTTAATGAGATTGGACAACCCATATCAGCACTGCAACAAGTGCTATTACAGGACATGGCTCCTTTAAAACAAACATTTATTTACTATAGGTTTTACAAATAGTCCCCTGTGCAGGGCACGAATGGGGGAGGATGAAACGGCGGCTCACGTGTTGCTGACATGTCCGGAGGTCGCTTCATATAGGCCTAAACATCTCGGCACGACGGGATCACTTCCCGAAGTTGCTCGCCACATCAAAGGACTGTTTAACTTCTTCGGGAAGATTTCAGGACTCGAATAATCATAATATTGCTGCCCACACGCAACATATATGTACGCGCTTAGACGTAGAGTTGCAGAAAACAGCCCGTCGTAAACTAAACTAACTATTTAGATTTTAATTAAAAGTCTATTCTTCCAGCCAGTTTAATTCTGCGTAAGAGGACTTTTTCAAGAATTTTTCTAGCAAACATTGACGTTGACTTTCTTGAAACCATTGTATATAATTACTACTTTTGACAGTCAGGTTGGTTAGTGCAGTGTCAGTACCTTCGTACTGGCTTCGCAAACCCATCAAGTGTACTATATGCAGGGTAGGTTTTCTACCCTTATGGATGGCTATTTTTAATTCATCAATATCAGACCATCTTATGTAATGAAAAAAAATTTATTTGGGTTTTGAGGAATCATTGAACATACATAAAAAATAAAGTGACCAATTTAGAATGTCCATTATTTGAACTCGATGAATGAAACTTATTGATTATCAAAAAGGTTTAAAAGATGTTTGTAAACAATTGTATTGTCACAAAAAGATAATTTAGTAGTAGTAGAGCCGATAAATTTAAATAACATTTACCTTTGGGACACATTCTTTGGTTAATAAAATGTTAGCACTCTTTACATCTCGGTGAACAAAATTGTTTTTCCTTACATTCTGTGTATCAGATTCTACAGATATGCTTTGAGTGGGCTGCTCACTTTTATGTAAATACCTCAATCCCTCGGCAGTTCCAAGCATAATATTTATTCTTTGTCTTTCATTTAACACTTTTGCTGCCAATTGTTGTTCTAAGGAACCTCCCTCGACATATTCACATATAATGCATGGAACAGGGCCATTCATTGAGAAACCTAATATTGGGACAATGTTTTTATGTCTAAATTGTGTCAAATTTTTGACTTCAGTATTAAACATGTCAATTGCCATTTGTGGTTTATGTGTTGGCCACAGGAGGTGACTGTGAATTTTTTTAACAGCTAGTGGGATTCCATATTTTGGGTGATAGCCCACAAAAACTTCACCAAATCCTCCGCTACCTATTTTACCGCTAGGACCAAAAGGACCTTCAACAATGGTCTCAGAAAATTTGCATGTTATATTTTCTAATTCACCATACTCAAAATTAATTAAATTTGTATCTTCTAGTATTAATTTATCAATATGGCTATGTAAGTCAGTTATGTTTGGCAAAGATTTCTGAAAATATGAGTTATTTTCAGCTTCTGCTTGCTTATGAACTGACTCGACAGAGTCTTGAATTGATTCACCATCACTTTGGCTTCTAGTACTTATATTTTGAACCGAGTTTTTGTTAGAATGTTGAAGTATTAAACTTAAGTTGGGTATATTCAGTGACGGTTCTGAGAGGTTTCTAGATTCACTGGGAATCACACGAATAGTAGGTTTATTATTCAAGGATTGTAGAAAACTTATATCTGGAATGTTCCGACTACTAAATACTTTATCATTGTCAGATTTCAAAGGCAAAGTGCTGACATTGTACAAGTTTTTTTCATTTGAAAACTCATTTTGGATTCTCTTAGTTGGATCATTATCATTAAATCTCTGTTCTATTTGCTCATTATTTAATAATATAGTAATTCCTGTATCTATGTCTGCTCCTGGTCCATCACTTGGCCGAGGGGGGCGCTCTTCTGTAAATTTAAATATGATTAATAATAACTCAAAGATATTTTCAATATATTGGGACATTGTAGGCTTCTACTCTGAATAAGAAAGTTCATACTATGAACTTATAACTTGTATTTAATCATATATTCCATCAATTTCCACCAATAATATTACAAAATAGAAGCATCATTGAGTGATGGATGGTGGAATTATCATCTCAAAAATATCAAAGCTTGTGATTGGTAAATAAAACATAAGTACAAAACATATTTTAGGTTAATATAATGTGAAATAAAGTTTTTGATAAAATGTAAAAACATAGGCTCCAATAACAACTATGACATTGAATATTATGCTTATGATTCATATTTAAAAAGAAAAATAAAAATATAAAACGTTTAAAACTATATTTTATAGTTTTAAAATAAGGTTAATTGTCAACTCTTTTCTCACTGAGAAATCTTACGAGGTGATAGACCAGAAAACAATATGTAATAATGTGACCTTATTGCAATATCTAAGGTCGAAGTATAAAAAGTATAAATCTCTAACAAAAATCAATGAATAAAGTGGCTACATAAAATCAAGTTATTAAGTAAGTTAGTTTAAGAATAAATACATACCAAATTGTCATTTCAATTTTTTTTATGTTGTTCAAGATAAAAAATCTAACAAATACTTACTAGAAAAACATTAAAATAGTCATTATAAATGTTAACACTCTTAAGGACGCGTTTACAAAATGGATAGGTATAGAATCGCACTACTACATTGACAAAAGTCACACACACACTAGTGTACGCACGGTTGGCTGTGGGAATCGTAGTCAAATGAAATTATTTTGATAATTTGAAAGATTGAATTTGTTTTTCATTTCTTATACCTACCTCAGAAATATACTTCGATACGAAATATGAATACCTGCTCCAAAGACTGCTTAGCACTGGAAGCCCTCTACTGGTAGTGAGATGTTAGCTCTGGACTTTGATTTTGTCAGTTATAATAAGACCTTACCTACCTGCGGACTTGATGGAGTGACCTGAAGGTGTAATTCGGTGATTACAAGTGGAACTCCTAGACTAGTAGAACTAGGTGTGCCGAGTTTGGGTTCGTTTTGTTAGTTATGATGAGACCTTACCACCAGACTTGATGGAGTGACCTGAAGGGGTAATTCAGTAACTACTGCTGGAATTTCTGAACGAGTAGAACTAGGTGTGCCGAATTTGGGCTCCGTTTTGTTAGTTATGACGAGTCCATACCTCCGGACTTGATGGAGTGACCTGAAGGTGTAAATCGGTGATTGCAACTGGAACTCCTAGACTGGTGGAACTAGGTGTGCCGAGTTTGGGTTCGTTTTGTAGGTTATGATGAGACCTTACCACCGGACATGATGGAGTGACCTGAAGGTATAGTTCGGTGATTACAAGTGGAACTTCTAGACTTGTAGGACTAGGTGTGCCGAGTTTGGGTTCGTTTTGTTAGTTATGATGAGACCTTACCACCAGACTTGATGTAGTGACCTGAAGGGGTAATTCAGTAACTACTGCTGGAATTTCTGAACCAGTAGAACTAGGTGTGCCGAATTTCACTCCATCAAGTCCGGTGGTAAGGTCTTATCGTAACTAACAAAACGAAACCAAACTCGTCACACCTAGTTCTACTAGTCTAGGAGTTCCATTTGTAACCACCTGATTACACCTTCAGGTCACTCAATCAAGTCCGGTGGTAAGGTCTCATCGTAACTAACAAAACGAACCCAAACTCGGCACACCTAGTTCTACAAGTCTAGGAGTTCCACTTGTAATCACTGAACTACACCTTCAGGTCACTCCATCAAGTCCGGAGGGATGGACTCGTCATAACTAACAAAACGAAGCCCAAATTCGGCACACCTAGTTCTACTCGTTCAGAAATTCCAGCAGTAGTTACTGAATTACCCCTTCAGGTCACTCTATCAAGTCCGGTGGTAAGGTCTCATCGTAACTAACAAAACGAACCCAAACTCGGCACACCTAGTTCTACCAGTCTAGGAGTTCCAGTTGCAATCACCGATTTAGACCTTCAGGTCACTCAATCAAGTCCGGTGGTAAGGTCTCATCATAACTAACAAAATAAGCCCAAACTCGGCACACCTAGTTTTACTCTACAAGAAGTTCAAATAGCGGTCGCGAAAGTACACCTTCAGGTCACACCATCAAGTGCGGAGGTAAGGTCTCATCATAACCAACAAAACGAGCCCAAACTCGGCACACCTAGTTCCGCTCGTCCAGGAGTTGCAGTAGTAGGTAAGTTTATATATCCTACTTATTTTTAGCGAAATAAAAAACTGTGAGTATAAAAATAATAATTTTATCACTTGTCAAGTACTTATGTTTCCAATTTGTTTTTTTCTAATATTTTGTGTATGTACAGCGATCTTTTCAGAATGAGCCGCTGCAAACAGGCGATACAGTGTCCACTCACGACGGCGGCCGAGCGCGGACTGTGGTTTCATCGAAATCTTTGTACAATAAATCAAAGCAGGCACCAACAATAAAATAGCCCTTATTGCAATACATTATGATTCATCCGTATTACCAAAATATGTGAAAAAATGTGCATCAGTTTTTATTTTTTTTACGACTATTTGTGACATTTTGTTAAAAAATAAACCCAGGGTTTTTTAATTGAATATGTCTGTCATCTTATAGTATTTTTTAAATTTTTTAAATATGTTGATAATAGACCAAAACATGTACCGAAACACAAGCCGGTATCGTTAATTTTGTAGAAAATGGCAACGAAAGTTCGTTTTTACAATATAAAAAACTACTATTTTCAACAAAAGAGTTACAGACATTTGCAGATGAAGAACCAATCTATACATGGTAGTTTTTACTTATATTTGATTTGGTTTAGTTTTGTCACAAAATCTACCGAAAAACACCCTAATTTTAGTTGATTTGCAAACGCGTCCTTAAGACTTACAACAATAATAAATTATAGTGTAGTTTACAAAGTCATGATCAAGATAATATGTGATATATTCTGCCAGCTTAAATGATTCCTGTATCCATTTCTGTGAAGGAATTAATCCCCTTCAGCTCCTCAGATCATCTAAGGTGACTGAATCTCCACAGCTCAAACACAGGTACTCTTTGTTTTCATCATTAGCAAATTCCCTAACTCTAGGTTTCTCAGTCACCCTTGCTGAGGGCTTCGATCTGGTTTAGTTTTATTTATTTTCCTATATTTTATAAGAGCCATATATACAATTATAAGAGTCTATAGGTTTTGTGCAGAATGTATAGTATAAAGATACAATAAAATATCTTTATTTATTTTAATGTATATTATTCATTGCAATCATATCCTATTTAACTGTATCCGAAACGAACTAGAACATTTCATAATAGTGTTAGAGCAGTTTTGTTTCACCATACATATACATAGGCGGTCCCATAATGAATTGGCCTAACTATGAACCAATGAAGGAAATGAAACGAAACCAATTTTATTTTTCAATATAATCACCATGAATACTAACACACTTCTGACATCTGTGAATCAACATCTCTAAACCTTTTTAAAAATAATCACATTTTTTATCCTCAAAATGACTGAAGACGGCCGCCTGCAACTCTTCATCGCTTGAAAATTTTCTTCCTCTTAAGTCCCGCTTTAAATTTGGAAATAAATAATAGTCGGACAGGGCCATGTCTGGACTGTAAGGTGGATGTTGTACTTCTGTGAACGCATTGACGAACTGCATCCTTCGAAACACCAGCGGTATGAACAGGGGCGTTGTCATGGAGCAACAGGACACCTTTAGACAGCTTGCCTCTTCGTTTTTCCTTTATCTTGTCTCGTAATTTATATATTAAAGAAGCATAATATTCGCCGTTCACGACTGTATTACGTTCTTTAAAATCCACCATCAAAATGCCTTGAAAATCCCAAAATATTGTGCACATCAGTTTTTTAGTCGATTGTTGCACCTTTGCCTTTCTAGGGGGCTTTTCACCCTTATAACGCCATTGCATTGACTCGCGCTTGCTTTGTGGATCATAATACAAGATCATAGTTTCATCACCAGTCACTAGCCGCTCGATCACAGTCTTTGGATTTTCGCCACAAAGATCCAAAAACTCCGAAGCGCAGCGCACTCTTTCCTGTCTCTGTACCGCTGAAAGAAGTTTCGGTACCCATCTTGCACTCACTATTTTCATGTGAAGATGTTCATGGATCGCGCGATGAACGGTACTCTTAGAGAGCCCAAGCCTTGCTGCAATTTCTCTAATCTTCAAACGGCGGTCACTCAGAACCTCCTCTTCGATAAGAACAATCCTTTCGAGAGCGAGCACTTCCACAGGTCGACCGTCGTGGCCAAAGTCTTCGACGGTTTCTCTCCCGAGGCGAAACTCTTTCACCCAATTTTTCACTGTGCTATAGGAGTGGGCAGACTCAATATAAACGGTTCTTTTATTTGGGCAGGCAGGATAAACCTTCTTTAAACAGAAATTTTATGACACTTCTATACTCATTTTTCGACATTTTGAAAAAATACGCGACTCTCGTTATTCAAATGCCTGTTAAACTAAGACTAAGCATTTCATGTTGATGCATGTTTCTTATATTAAGTGCACGATAAACGTACTATTTAATGCAACACAACATGTAGCGACATGTCGCATTGAACTATATCAGGCCAGTTCATTATGGGACCGCCTGGTATATAAACATACATAAACACTCACGCCTGTCACCCAGAGGGGTAGGCAGAGCCTACAGACTTCCATTTGGCACGATCCTGACACACCTCTCTTGCCTCCTTCACATCCATACACCTACGCATACATGCTCGTTGGTTAAGGGTACTCCTAATTTGGCCCGTTTTCAATAAACCGCCAATTTGGTCGATAAATTTTCGCCTAGTACGTCCCTTTCCGACTCTGCCATTCACTTCTGCACCATAAATTTTCTTTGTCACTCTTTCCTCATTCATTCTTTCCACATGACCAAACCACCGAAGCATTCCTTTCTTAATCCTGGTCACCACATCATCTTGCAAACCACACTCTTCTTTGTGTGTTTTGTTTCACCAATAACTATAAACATCTGTGACTGAAGTCCCTATCTTATATTGTGGGTTACTCTGTCTTCTCCAAAAATAAATGTACAAACGTAAGTTAATGTCCAAATGACTGAAAATAATTAACATAAGTAAGCCATAAGGTAATCATGATAAATTTGCGTATTTTTTTGTGTACTTACGTCTGAACATGAGTGTGTTTGTATAAATGTATATGTTCAGCTACAATATTATTGTATTTTTCATTATATATGTAATGTTAACATAGATACTTAAAGTGGTTGATATTAATTAAGCTTGTATACTTACTTATAAATTTATGCCTAGGCTAATAAGTATAATATCTCAACATAACATACCTTCAAGTAATGCAGCAATCTGATCCGCAGCTTTTAAAATATTTGCCTTGAGTACAATGTCTTTTAATGTTGACAATGTTGGCCTGATTTGTCCTGAAGTTCCCCATTCATCTAGCAATATTTCCGCACATTGCCTATTACTTAATCTTGCATATTCTTCAATGAGTCTTAAATACAAAATAATTCATGCAGTAAAATCTTATAATATTCTGAAACTGAATACACTTTTCTGATAACAGGTTAAAATAGTAAAAATCTTCAGTTGCAAGCATTCTTTGCAAACGTGGCAACTATGGTAAATATTTAATTTATTTATGAGAAAAGCCTATAATCAGTAGTGAATTTTTGATTGGATGTAATGAATGCAAAATACAACTACGACATACCTTACGTGTTCTTCATTGTATTTTGGTTCAAAGTTGTTACTATTAGGATTCTTAGGTATAAAAGTCATAACCGTCTTCCAATCATTATTTGTTTCCAGAGTGTTGATAACATCACAAAGAGCACCTGCGGGTAATTTACGCAATTCCACGTCCCTATACATTACCTAAACTTAAAAATAATTATTACATTAAGATTACAATCGATGTCTATTAGAATTAGTAGTAGCTTGCTTAATATCTATAATTTTTTGGTAGTAGTAGTAAAATGAGTGATTTAAATACTCGCGCAGAAGGTAGGGTATCTTAGGTTTTTATAATTCTTCATTTACTACTCGTTCTCGACCAAAACAAATTTTTTTACAAAACATCTACGCTGTCAAATGTCAAAATACTGATACAATAGTTTGATAATTTTGACAGCACTGTAGGAATGGGGTGGTGTATGATCGTTAATGAATCTATTCGATTATTATTCTCACTGAACTTGACATCGATAGTTGCATGTTTATGTTGTATCTAGGCTGCACTAAAAGTATCGGGAATGGAATATTTCCACTGTTCCTGTCATATTAAAATCTTTTTAATTGAAAACTCCTTGGTTTTAAAAATCGAATACCATTTATTTATTTAAAAAAAGATTCTCGGTCTTGTCACAAGGTTTTGTCAAACTTGTTTAGTCGTTGAGAAAATGGAATTAACTCGAGAAAATTCAAGAGCGATGATTTATTATGACTTTCGAAGTGGTTTAACACAAAAACAGTGTGTTGACTTGATGATTTCTGCATTTGGTGATGAAGTCCCATCCAAAACCACAATTTATCGCTGGTTTGTTGAATTTCAACGTGGACGTGTCAAGCTCAGTGATGATCCCCGTCAAGGTCGTCAAAAAACTGCAGTCACCCAAGAAAACGTTGATGCTGTGCGTAAGCTAATTGAGGAAGATCAACATGTGACATACCGCGAAATTCAGACAACTAGATATTGGCACGAGTCAAATACAAATAATCTTGCATGAATAATTAGGTGTAAAAAAGTTGTTTTCCCGATGGATACCGCATTCGCTCTGTGAAGAGCAAAAAGCGGTTCGCGTTACTTGGTGCATCAGAACTCTCGAAAGATTCCACGCAGGATCTTCAAATGCTGTATACAACATCGTATCAGGTGACGAATCCTGGATATACGCGTACGAACCCGAACCAAAAAACCAGTCACGAGTTTGGGTGTTCGAAAATGAGTTAAAGCCAATAAAAATTGTTCGTTCACGGAGTGTTGCAAAAAAAATGGTAGCCATGTTTGTCTCCAAAACCGGCCATGTTACAACTATTCCTCTTGAGGGACAAAAAACGGTTAATGCAGAATGGTATGCTAGCATTTGTTTGCCACAGGTCGTTTCTGAACTCCGTAAAGAGAACTGCAACCGCCGCATCATCCTCCATCACGACAATGCGAGTTCTCACACCGCACACAGAACAAAAGAGTTTTTAGAGCAAGAAAACAGAATCATTAGACCATCCGCCGTACAGCCCCGACCTAAGCACTAATGATTTCTATAATTTCCCTAAAATAAAGAATAAATTGCGTGGACAGAGATTTTCATCACCTGAACAAGCTGTGGACGCCTACAAAACGGCCATTTTGGAGACCCCAACTTCTGAATGGAATGCTTGCTTCCATCGTATGGAAAAATGTGTCAAATTTCGCGGTGAATACTTCGAAAAGCAATAAATACATTTTTAAATAGTAATGTTGTGTCACTTCCTTGATTCCCGAAATTTTCAGTGCCGCCCTCGTATGGATTTGGAATTTTGAACAATTTATTATCTATTGAATTAATAATAAATTAATATGATAATAAAATCCCTCCCATAATAACGATTTTGCCTCGTGCATATTTTTATTCGGTCAGTCATATTATCTAGTAGAAATAATTTTTGTGACAGGCCTTAGTGTGTAATAAAATAAGGAATTGTAGCTTAAGAGGTATTACAAAAAATCGCGAAATTACAAGCTTTCATCGTTGAAATTATATGTTTCCGTTCGTTGCTTGAAATAACAATTACTTGGTAAAAATAGTTCGTTTTCTCTACTACATTACTAAATTATAAATAATAGACTTACAAAATATCTGGAGAAAAATAATTTATTGTCAAATACACAGTTTGGTTTTAGACATGGCAAATCAACAGAGCATGCCGTTCATACTCTTACAAATTTTTTGTCATCGTATTTAGACAGGAGAAAAAAGTGTATTTCAAAAAATAATTTTAAAAAGACTGGAAAATGTCGGTATCAGAGGCACTCAACTCAAATTATTTAAAAGTTATCTTTCTAAGAGAAGTCAATGCGTTAGTGTGAATAATATTACCAGCAATGATTTACTACCCAACCTTATTTCTAATTTATATTGATAATTTTACAAAATTTGATCTCTCTCAGGGACATATAATTTCATACGCAGATGACACTGTTTTGATATTTGCTGCGGATACGTGGAAAGACGTATTCTCGTCCGCACAAATAGGTATAAATGCAGTTACTAATCGGGGGGCACGGCAGTGCCCCCGCCAAGTCGAGCGCGAAGCAAACACTGCCGTACCATCCTTTACTGGAACCATTTCGCCGCATTTTCAGGCCCCTATTTGAGAACCTCTGGATAATACCAGAACGCAGAAATTTTCGTCATCCAGTAAACTATAATCACATACTTAAAATCCAAAATTTCAAGTCTGTAGGTCATTTAGTTCCGAAGTTAAGCGAAAGCAAAGTTTCGCATTTTAGACACTCACTCACTCACTCATGATCATCAGAATAGAACTAGTACTTCCCATAAACTCAGAGAGCTGAAATTTGGTACAGAGTTAGGGTTTAATGGCCACATAAAGGGAAAACTATAAAAACTAGGATAATCGAACATCTGGAGTACCTGGTGACCCTGATTAGAAAACACAAGAGCCCAAACTATTAGAAGAGATCGACATACCGCCTTTACAAAAAATATTCAACTTGGTGGGCCGCTTCATTTGATGTCAAAAATCGAAGGTCTAGAGTATCTGATGAAGAACCCTCAGCTGGTCTCAGCTGTATTAGAGATATGGTAATGCCTCCTTCTACCACTGGTACATAAAATCTACTGTCATTGCAAAAATCTAGCGTAGTAGGACACATCTAGCCTATAGCGTCCCACTGCTGGGCGAATGCCTCCCCTTCTACTTTTAATACGCATATAAATAAAATTAAAGGAAAACTCTGGATAACACTAGATTGGCTTTTATACTTATACTTACAAGTTTACAAGAAAAAATAGTCGAACGATTAACTTTATTCTACTCGAACATTACTCAAATTCTTTTAAGGTACCGTGGACATGAATTCATCTCCACGTTGAGTACCGCGGACATGGATTCATGTCCGCATTACGTGCTGCTATTTTCTTCATTAATTGATATAAAAATACAGTATATTTTCAATTGAACACTATTTCATTCGATTCTGAACGAACTAAAGAGTATTCTGAAGAATTATATTCACTCGGTTACATAGACAAAATCAAATATAACAGCCATTGGCTTTTGTGCTGTTGGTGCTGTTAGTTGCGTAATCGTTGAAGTTTTGTGATTGTGATTTTAGTTGGATTTTCTTTCAAAAAACTGTAAGTAATGTTATTTATCTTTACTACGTAATGTTTTTGAATGATCTAAGTTACAACAACAGTAACTTTTTATGTTTCAATTGATAAAAAAGTAGAATCAAAAAACCTCTACGCGAACAATTCATAACGGTCAAGATTTCTAATAAGATAATAATAGTATATTTTCTTATTCGAATACCATAGTAAATACTTTTACTATGAATTGCTAAATGTTATATCTATATGATTGTATAAGAAAAATAAAGGAAGACGCTATAATATATACACAAAAAGGTTTTATGAGGTTACAAAGTGCGCGCAAACTGTCTATTGTCGAATTTTTAGCAAATGTTTGCAAGTTAAAAAGTAGAATTATTATAATTATTACATGCATAATTTCGGTTCATTTAGGAACAATATGTTGTATTGATTGTAAGGACATAAAAATGAAATAAAAACTTACGATATTTTATTCATAAAATAAAATTTGTTGTCAGTAAGTACACTTTATCAAGATCCGTTAGAAACAAAGAGCTGTACAAAATAAAATAAACATTTAGATGTTATGGTTATTGTTTCTACTTATCGAAAATCTTATCGACTTTAAATAACTGTAACAAAAACTTCTTTAAACATAAGTGAGAAACATAAATGTTTATAACAAGTGCCGCCAGCTGAGGTGACAAAGCTGTTTTTTGTTACGGCGGGCGCAGTAAGAGAAAGGTCTAGACTTACCAGAAGATACTGTTTGTTTACTACCGGCTAGAAATATGTGTATGCAGTTAAATAATGCTATGTTAAAAGCGATTCCGCACCCCTATACATACAGATAAAGTTAGTTGCTAAAGATTCCTTGGATTGTTCAAAATGTATGATAACGAAAGCCCGAGCATGTTTACAAAAATATGAAGATGTTGGCGACGCGCCTATAAGAATATTTCAATTTATTAAGTTAACCGATTACGAATAGCTTCTAAAAAGCAAATTATCAAGCAACAATATTTCGATAAGAAAATGCTTAGTCAAATCTTAAAGAAATATCGAATTAATGATATGAAGGTCTTGGGTTCGACTCCCAGGCCGGAATAGTTTATCGTTTTCTTAGTAATGTTTTCTTAATAAATTCATATAGGGAATTTTTGAGACATAAATTATGTTACCGGATTTGTTCCCCGGTTGAAATCATCTTTCCAATGATGTAAATTTAAAGAAATATTAAAATAAAGTTAGAGACCGGATTTTTTCCCCGATCGAGATGATCACTTTGTGAGTAAATAGAATTAATGGAAATTAATTGCATAAGTGTTGTCTTATTTGAGTTTGATATGTTTTGTATGAAAACAAATGCCTATTTTCTATGATTGATTTATGAAAACATTCACTTATATTGTTATCTGATAAGAGACATGATAACTGATAAGAATCTGATTAGAAATGGTTTCCTACAGTTTGAGAATTGTGTAGAAGCATTTATTCGCCTAGTATTGTTGATATTGATGTATAGTTTAGTTTGCGACGGGCTGTTTTCCGCAACTCCACGTCTATGCGCGTATTTTGCGTGTGGGCAGGAATAATGTGATTATTCGAGCCATGAGATCTCCCCGAAGAAGCTCAACAGTCCCTTGATGTTGCATGCAACTTCGGGGAGTAATCCCGGCGTGCCGAGATGTTTAGCCCTGTACGTAGCGACCTCCGGACATTTCAGTAGCACATGGGCCGCCGTTCCTTCCTCCCCCATACATGCCCTGCACAGGGGACTATCTGTAACACCTATAGTAAATAAATGTTTGTTAAAGGTGCCGTGTCCTGTAATAGCACTTGTTACTATCCTGATCTGCGACTTGTTCAGTCTCATTAGAACTTTGGTTAAGCGACTGTTTATTACAGGTAGGGCCTTCCTAGCTTGTCTACAGTCTACTAGATTTTTCCAAAGCTGAGCGTGTTGATTAGTGAAGTGTCTACGTACCATTGAACGAACGTTACCAAAGGGGATTGGTATGATTGGTTCCGGCCCTATAGTGGCCAGAGCCGATCCTCTTCTGGCCAGTTCGTCCGCTGCATCGTTGCCTCTGGATCCACTGTGTCCCTTTATCCATTGCAGAGTCACATTGTTGTTTTTACATACCTCATTTAATCGTTGATGGCATTCATATATTAGTCCCGAGTTCACCCCATTGCAACTCAGAGCTTGTGGTACCGCCCTACTGTCGGTCAGTATTCTGATGGGGAAGTCATTAACCTTCCTAGCATCTATTGCTATGGCCGCTTGAATGATACCCATACATTCCGCCTGAAAGACCGTGTTATAGGTACCCAGCGGTGTGCATATGTGAATATTGAGGTCTTCAGAGAAAGCTCCAGAACCTACACCTTCATTTGTTTTAGAACCATCGGTGAAAATTCTAAGCTCTTTTGGGCTTAATCCTTCCGGCTGGCTGTTTTCATTTAATTGTATCTTGTATTTCTTATCGAAAACAAATTGTTTAGTCAGCAAGGTGCTGACTGACTGCGCTCACGTAGTGGTTTTGTCACGTAACCGTTACGTCAGCGGGCGATGGGGTCGTCACTTCCCTACGCCTTTTTATTGGGTTATTGATAGAGAAATCACATCTGGTTGAGCTGGATAAATATATAAAAGGAAAAATAAATATACTTAAATATATAAATAATACATAAATAAATAAATAATACATAAATAAATAAAAGCCTAACCAGATGGAAGCTCTCGGCAGGGGAGAAGATACCCCTTCTTATCATTATGTGGTTCTCCGCAGCCATCATCCGCTCGCCCAGATAGCAAAGGATCGTACTCCATTGCCCCATACACTGCTCGAGGAAGTCTCCAACTGTACAGTCAATTTTGTACAGCTGGAGGACTCTCTTTAGCCATGTATAAGGCACCGAGTCGAATGCCTTTCTGTAGTCTATCCAGGTGGCGGAGAAGTTCCGACGGTTGCGTTTCACCACTTTGCCAATGACCGCGTCAATGGGGAGTGGTTCCTTGGTTCCACGACTACCACTCCGACATCCATTTTGAGCGCGTGACAGCACCTGATTTAGCTCCAGGTGACGAGTGATTCTCGCGCTCAAAATGGATGTCAGTGTCTTATATATGGTGGGTAGACACGTGATGGGACGGTATTTGCTCGGGTCTGTGGTATCCTGATCTTTAGGAACCAAGTAAGTGATCCCAGTAGTGAAGAGGCGCGGGAGCGACTTCTGATCGAGAGCCTCTTGAAACTGTCGGGCGAGCACAGCGTGACACACTACGAACCCCTTCAGCCAGTAATGATGCAGCCCGCAAAATTTGTCATACACAAAGTTCAAAAATGTTATTAAACTAAGTTTGTATAAAAAGGGTTATTATAATATTAAGGAATTTATAGATGATAATAACCCCTGGGAAGGGTGATCGCTACCAAGCTATTTCTAATTTGTCTTGTGTTGTTGGTTGTAAACATGTTTGTAAGCTATTATTAAAAAAAATAGTCCCGCTGGGTTTCTTGCTGGTTCTTCCCAGGACAGAGGTTTTTTTTTTGCGAACCAGTGGTAAATTAAAAAAGTGACTTTCAATAAGTATTTTTATAATCTACATTGAATAAAAAAAGTTTCTATTTCTATTTCGTCGAGCCCCGGACTTTTCCAGTTCGGGGCCCTACGGACCGCCTCAGCCACGTCTTCAGGCGTTATGGTGACGGGTCCAGAGGCGTAACACTTGCACTCTGGTTCGCCACAACTTCCATCCAAGGGCTCTAGCTGTAGTTTACGGGCTCTGACCACAGGCCACGCCAAAATGAGACAGTGTCAGCCTGATCCGGTCCTGGAACCGCTCCACATACCTCTGGTCGCTCCAATGATTTATAGAGGCTCTTCTGATAACTCTGGAAGAGACGATTCTGGTTTAACCGCCTTGACCTCTCGCTAAATCATCGAATCCGCTTCCCCCAAGCAGCAATTTTTTGCTTCAGGTCAACTATGCGCTCCGATAGTTTCTGCGTGATATCCGGCTGGGACAAACTAATATTTGTCCCAGCAAACGCCATTCTAACGGTGCGCACAACTCTCGGTCTATTATTACCCGACCTGAAGCTTGTCAGTCGGTCGATAAGGGCCCTTGCCTTTTCGATACGGTCCTCGATTCCTTTTCTCCAGGCTGGGATGGCGCTTCTTTGTTGAGTAACACGACCAGCGATGGGAAGCTTGGCGCCAATAATACGGCATACTGCCAGTGCGGCGCCAAAAAGAATTGAGTCCGTCTCGCAAAGGTCCCGACTGGTTTCCAAATAGGTCACTAGCATTGGGTTAAGAGCCCGCACGACAGCCCGATTTCGCTTGCTAAGGGGTATGCGGGAAAGTCACGGTCGATTTTCGAGAGGCATGCTGTGCGTTTTCAGCATCGACTCTTTCAATATGCTCCTCATTTTCTCTAGTTCGTGGGAGACTATTCCATCATCGTCTGAATTAGCCACAAATGGAATATTGACGGCAGCATCCACATATGCAGTTTGCTGCGCATCTAGTGGCGCCGCATTCCCAGCCGTAGCATTTCCATTCGATGAGGGAATAGCCTCACGTCGTAGTCGTTCGAGTTCGGCGTCACCAAATATGTTGGAGCGCAGGATGTACCGAACTCGGTCTGCTAGGTTTTGCTCAGTGACGGATAGAGATGGTTCCAGCTCTGCAAAAAAGCGATGCATCCGAGCCCGATACGCCAAACATTCAGTTTCTTCCCCTTTTGCCCTAAAATACGCCCGCAGTGCGTTTGCGTTCATTAATTGTGACGAACGCATGCGACGTGCTCCGCCAGCGGCGAGTGCCGCTTGCTGAGTCCGAGAAGACCCAGCCGACACCAAGCCTTCTGGTGGGGATGATGGATGCGGGGGGCTGCTAGGTGGTCTTGCAGCACCCCGCGCTCGGCTGGCGGCCCGCATGCTGTAGCGTCCAGCGCCAGCTCCAGACGCGCCCTGGCGATCTCCAGGCAGCGGCCCTTTGCGCACTATCTTTTTTCCATCATCAATAATTTGGGCGTCCATTAACGGGAGACGCCCAAGCCCGGCACCGTATCGTGGACGGCCATAAGCACAAACGGGCCTTTGCACCCTGAATTCTGCCGAGACACGTCTCTCACACCTCTCGCGAGGCGCTGACTTATTATTATTATTATTATAAAGCTCAAGGGAAATTTTAGATAACTTATTTATTTATTTAGAAATAATCATTCTCCCGATGCATGTTTAGGCCAAAACACTGAGAGACATGATTTGGGAGCTATAATTTATAGATTCTATTGAATATAGATCATCGAAAGAAATATTTTTATCTCACAAATATCCTCCTACAATTTAATAATCATAAAATATATTTTCGTTATATGCCTTTCACGTAAGGGAAAAAATCGACCTAATTAAATTATCTACCGAAAAAGCTTCGATACAAGCCCAATATCTCCAAAGTTCTACATAATTTTGACGTAAAATTCATATCAAAATAATCATAAACATTTGCTTTAAACTTTACTATGATTTGCTGAAGTGAAAACTTCTTTACCGGCGTTGTACACTTCTTTTGTAATGGGTAAAAAATGTTAAACTCGCGTCAGGACACGTGACCCCGATCGAAAATTCGTAAGACGGATGGAGAAAGAGAGACAGCCGGCGCGGCGTAGGAAAAGTATCCCCCTCTCTTTCTACGGCGCGGCGAAAATGTATGCTTGCGCCTGCTGTTTCGTATAGGCGGCGCAGGGCGCTTGTGCGAATGTTCGTGTATGATAATTAAAGCAATTCCTGCGAAATTGTTCCCTAATCATTCCAAAATATCAAAAATGCACAACTTTAATATTCAAGTTTTCACTTCTGCCGGCACTCCCGGAGTGCAATCCGTCGTTTTTCTTTTTAAATTGTTTATTTTTAAATTAACTAAATAAAAGTACCATATTTCAAGGCGCCGGCCATCTGCGTTCAATACAGCGCGAGCGCTCGTCTGAAGTCTTGGGCTTAGTCGGTCACCATTGGGAGCGCTCAATTTAGTTTGCAGTCATATAGCGAAATTGAGTTCGGTAGTTCGTTTTTAATTTTTCATTAGATCTAATTAAAAAAAAAGATTTATTATTTTATTTATTTTGATTATTGCAAATATAATTTATTTTTATTTAAAAAGTATGATATATTACAACTCAAGTTTACTTTTCTATTTATGGCACATAAAATCACTTACATCAATAATATGTAAAAAAAACAAACTCTTGATAGAAAATAATAATTTATATTAAGCAATATTTTCATCATCAGAACAGCCCTTCACAAGTACATTGCTGAACATAGGCCTCCTGGTACAAAGCGCGGTCCAGAGCCACTTACATCTAGACTTGGGGGGATCGCCCTACACTTTGCCTACCGGTATGAAACTGCCACTCGAGAACCTTTTTCCCCCAACGGCTATCGGTTCTTCGAGCTATATGGCCGGCCCATTGCCACTTCAGCTAACTAGTCCATTTGGGCTATGTCAGTCACTCTGATTCTACTGCGGATATCCTCATTTCTAAATTTATCACGTAGTGAAACCCTGAGAACAGCCCTCTCCATAGCTCGCTGAGGGACCTTGAGCGTCCTCATACGGCCAGTAGTGAAGGACCACGTCTCAGATCCATAAGTCATCACTGGCAACACGCACTGGTTGTACAATCTCGTTTTCAGTTTTTGAGGAATACCTGACGAGAAGATGTGTCGTAATTTCCCGAACGCTGCCCAGCCAAGTTGAATCCGTCGATTGACCGCTATGTCGAAGTTGGACTTACCTAGTTGGATTATTTGTCCCAGGTAAGCGTACTCGTCAACAACTTCGAGCTTAGTGCTCCCAACAACTACCGGCATATGCGTGACATGGACATTAAACGTGATCTTTGTTTTGTACATGTTCATCTTAAGACTTATCCGTTGGGAGACATTATTGAGGTCATTGAGCATAGTGCTTAGATCCTCCAGCGATTCTGCCATAAGGACTATATCATCGACAAATCGAAGGTGAGTGTACTCGCCATTGATGTTAATACCGTATCCTTTCCAATCCAGTAGCTTGAAAATGTCTTCCAATGCAGCGGTGAAGAGTTTCGGGGATATAACGTTACCCTGTCTTTCACCTCTCTGCAGTTAGACAGGTTTCGTACTTTCATTCTGTACTCAGATAGCCATCGTATCCCAACTGTACAAACACTTCAGCACTTCGATATACTGACAGTTCACTTGGCACCGCCCAAATTTCGACTGAATCAAAATATTTCTCATAGTCCACATACGTCAGGCAAGGTGGCAGATTATACTCTTCGGACTTCTCTTCTTAAAACTGTATTTATTGCTTTTCGAAGTATTCTCCGCGAAATTTGACACATTTTTTCATACTATGGAACCAATCATTGAAGCAACCATTCCATTCGGAAGTTGGGATCTCCAAAATGGCCGTTTAGTAGGCGTCCACAGCTTCTTCAGGTGATGAAAATCTCTGTCCACGCAATTTATTCTTTATTTTAGGGAAATTATAGAAATCATTTGGGCTTAGGTCGGGGCTGCACGGCGGATAGTCTAATAATTCTATGTTTTCTTGCTCTAAAAACTCTTTTGTTCTGTGTGCGGTGTGAGAACTCGCATTGTCGTGATGGATGATGATGCGGCGGTTGCAGTTATCTTTACGGAGTTCAGAAACGACCTGTGGGAAACAAGAGGAATAGTCGTAACATGGCCGGTTTTGGAAACAAACGTGGCCACCATTTTTTTTGCAACACTCCATGAACGAACAATTTTTGTTGGCTTTCATTCATTTTCGAACACCCAAACTCGTGACTGGTTTTTTGTTTCGGGTTCGCACGCGTATATCCAGGATTCGTCACTTGATACGATGTTGTACAGCATTTCAGGATCCTGCGTGGAATCTTTCGAGAGTTCTGACGCACCAAGTAACGCGAGCCGCTTTTTGCTCTTCACAGAGCGAATGCGGTATCCATCGGGAAAACAACTTTATTACGCCTAATTGTTCGTGCAAGATTATTTGTATTTGACTCATGCCAATTTCTAAAGTTGCCTGAATTTTGGCGGTATGTCACATGTCGATCTTCGTCAATCAGCTTACGCACAGCATCAACGTATTCTTGGGTGACTGCAGTTTTTGGACGACCTTGAAGGGGATCATCACTGAGCTAGACACGTCCACGTTGAAATTCAGCAAACCATCGATAAATTGTGGTTTTGGATGGGGCTTCATCACCAAATGCAGAAATCATCCGGTCAACACACTGTTTCTGTGTTAAACCTAATAATCTATATAAATATAATCTTATTATTAAACACAATACTATATTTAAGCTTAATAATCATACAATCAACACCGTTATCCACATATTACCACTGGGTCTATGTACGTAACAATTAAAAATTAAAATATAATGTTCTATTAAAAACGACCCGTTCACCAATAAATACAGAGAAAAACAAGCTAATGATTTCTTATATTTACGCGAACACTACACATTGAAATAATACTAATTTTTACGGAATTTATCGCGTATATTTAACTTTTTTACCCGACGTTTCGAGAGCTTTACAGCACCCATGGTCACGGGAAGGACTGAGATGTTCAACGTCCAGCTGTCATAGTTAACCGCGGTTACCATAGATTAAGATTTAACTTTTGTTCCGATCTACACAGTATGAACTTATGGTATCATGGAGTCTTGCAGTTGTATGCTTGGGTTGGGATTTAATTTTATTTATTATAGGATCCCAAGCAGATGGTAGCACCCAGCCATCTTCTTTATTGAAATTAGGATGTTTTTTGATTTCAATAGCCTCGCGAATCATCCTTGGAAGGAATCGGTGTTCTTTAGCGAGGATTTGTGGTCTCTCAAATCTGATGTAGTGACGGGGGCGATCCTGTACATGTTCACAGACTGCAGACTTCCCGGAGCGTCGATTCTTCACATCAGCTATATGTTCTTTGACGCGGGTTTTAATTGATCTTTTAGTTTGTCCTATGTAGGAGAGACCACATTCACAATCAAGCTTGTACACTCCTGCATCTTGCAGAGGGATGTTACACTTAACTGATGGTAAAAACTGACCAATCTTCTTCGGCGGCTTGAAGTATGTTTTGATGGAAGCGCGCTTCAAGATGTAGCCAATCTTGTCAGTGACTCCTCTAACATACGGCAGTACAGCAGGTACACGCTCGACTGTGGCCGGCTTCACTCGTTCTCTGTGACGTAGGCGCGGGACCCGAAGCTTGTTGTCATGCAAAACTTGCTTGACATGTTGGAGCTCGGCAGCCAGGTGTTTACTGTCACAGATCCCTCGTGCTCTCTGAAACAAAGATTTACCCACGGTAGCTACAATCCAACAAAAACGCTCCGATCTATATGACATAAATAAATCCATAGACATATCATCCAGTGAATTAAAGAAATTTTTAACGACGTTTGATTATAATTTTTGCATGGAAACATTAAATAAACGCGAAATTAGTAAATATAACGAATGCAAAAACAAACATATAGAAAAATATCAAAAATTAACGGCCAAATCAAATGTCAAACATCCGAATCAATGCCAGAACCAAAAGCAACCATTGACAAACACAGATCATAGATTAATCGCGTTCTATAATCTGTCAAAACAAACACTGGATGATGCAACAATAAAGGTGTTATCCAAAGGACTAAATTACGCTATAACTCCAAGCAGATTACCGTACGAAGAAATTATCTGTAGTGTCGAGGACTGTTTATTTAAAAACAATATGCGGAAAGAAGATTTGGAGGCGATACGTCAAGACATTTCGTCTATGTTACGTCGATGTTCAGTGCCTAAACCGAATCTTCCCAGAGACGAATTTATAGCGTTAAAGAACCTACGCAATAAACCAGAACTTACGATTCTCCGCGCAGATAAGGGAAACGCCACGGTGGTCATGGATACGTCAGATTATAATTCTAAAATACAAGAACTTTTGTCGGATGTAAGTACTTATAAAAAGGTTAAAAACGACCCAACAAACAGCACACTAAAAACAACTAGTGATCTCATAAAGAAACACTCCGAAAAATTAAATCTGGACGTAAAATGGATAATACCTACGTGCGCCAAATCACCAAAGTTGTATGGGTTACCAAAAATACACAAGCTCAATGCTCCATTACGCCCCATAGTGAGCCAAATCGATTCACCAACTTACAGATTGGCTCAACACTTAGCGAAAATACTCTCACCGCTCAGGGGACATACAAGAGCACACATAAAGGATTCCTACCATTTTGTCAGCGAGATTAAAGACCTACGTCTGGCAGACAATGAAACTATGGTCAGTTTTGATGTGCAGTCATTGTTTACATGCTTACCTGTTGAAGACTGCATCTCAATTGTAACTAGAAGGCTGGAAGAAAACAACATGCCCGTAGAATATGCAGTATTACTCAGACACTGCCTTACATCTGGCTACCTATTGTGGAAGGAGGAGTTCTACAAGCAAGTAGATGGTGTGGCGATGGGCTCACCTGTATCTCCCATTGTCGCCGACATATTCATGGAAGACTTTGAGGAGAAAGCCCTGCTTACTTCTCCCATAAATCCAAGATTCTACAAGCGGTACGTAGACGACACTTTCACAATTCTACCTTTAGATAAAGTAACTGCATTTTTAGACCATCTTAACTCTATAAATACTAAAATTCAGTTCACAATGGAGTTAGAGGCAAACAATTCCTTAGCTTTTCTAGATGTGTTAGTAATTCGGAATCCTGATAACACCTTGAGCCATACTGTTTATAGAAAAAAGACCCATACAGATAGATATTTAAACGGTGATTCTCACCACCATCCTTCACAGTTAGCTACCGTGGGTAAATCTTTGTTTCAGAGAGCACGAGGGATCTGTGACAGTAAACACCTGGCTGCCGAGCTCCAACATGTCAAGCAAGTTTTGCATGACAACAAGCTTCGGGTCCCGCGCCTACGTCACAGAGAACGAGTGAAGCCGGCCACAGTCGAGCGTGTACCTGCTGTACTGCCGTATGTTAGAGGAGTCACTGACAAAATTGGCTACATCTTGAAGCGCGCTTCCATAAAAAACATACTTCAAGCCGCCGAAGAAGATTGGTCAGTTTTTACCATCAGTTAAGTGTAACATCCCTCTGCAAGATGCAGGAGTGTACAAGCTTGATTGTGAATGTGGTCTCTCCTACATAGGACAAACTAAAAGATCAATTAAAACCCGCGTCAAAGAACATATAGCTGATGTGAAGAATCGACGCTCCGGGAAGTCTGCAGTCTGTGAACATGTACAGGATCGCCCCCGTCACTACATCAGATTTGATAGACCACAAATCCTCGCTAAAGAACACCGATTCCTTCCAAGGATGATTCGCGAGGCTATTGAAATCAAAAAACATCCTAATTTCAATAGAGAAGATGGCTGGGTGCTACCATCTGCTTGGGATCCTATAATAAATAAAATTAAATCCCAACCCAAGCATACAACTGCAAGACTCCATGATACCATAAGTTCATACTGTGTAGATCGGAACAAAAGTTAAATCTTAATCTATGGTAACCGCGGTTAACTATGACAGCTGGACGTTGAACATCTCAGTCCTTCCCGTGACCATGGGTGCTGTAAAGCTCTCGAAACGTCGGGTAAAAAAGTTAAATATACGCGATAAATTCCGTAAAAATTAGTATTATTTCAATGAAAAACAAGCTAATTTACACATATGCATGTACATGTGCACGCATATACATACACACATATATACAAACATATTCATACACGCACATACACATATATAGATAATACACAGATGTGAAAAATTAAATTTAACCTAATTAAGCAATTACATTAACTTGCATCAAATTCAGATAGAACCTCATACACAGCTTTTTTATATCTAGAAGAAGTTAATCCAAAGATATCTATGTCATTAAATTTGTTGTTGTATAATTCCATTATACGATTTAGAGGTGCATGTGCACCTGCATTTGTTTTACTTGGTTTTGGAGCGAAAATTTGATGTGAATGTAGCTCACGTATACGATTCGAGCGACTAGGTATACGAATGTATATTTGATTGGTGAGTTCATTACAATCAAATTCGTTATGGCAGATTTTGTAAAGCAAAGTTTGATCCAAGAGCATCCTTCTCGATTCTAAAGAAAGAACATTAAATTTTCTTAATAAAAGTTCATAACATTCATTATAATTACTTTTAAAGCATTTGTACATTGTAGATTTTAAAAATTTTCGTTGAACACGCTCCAACTGTAAGCTATATTTACTATATATTGGACTCCATATAACTGATGCATATTCAACCTGTGATCTTATTAGAGATTTATATAAAGTTAAAAATGTGGTGGGATGTTTGAAGGAAGAACATTTCCGCATAACAAAACCATAAAGCTGAAAGGCTTTATTGGTTATGTGCGTTACGTGTTCATCAAAGTGTAGTTTAGTGTCTAAATACAATCCTAGATCCCTGATTAAAGATACCGATTCCAACGAAACACAGTTTAGTTTATAAGTGTATTTAATAATGTTAATTTTTTTTGTGAAAGTGATATGTTTGCATTTTGATGTACTTAAGTGAAGTTTATTTTTTATACAGTAGCCTTCCAAGCGATTTAGGTCTTGTTGTATTTTGTCACAATCTTCGACACTTTTGACACTGTGATAAATTTTAAGGTCATCGGCGTAAAGGAGAAAGTTAGTAAAACGGAAACAATCACCGATATCGTTTACAAATAATATAAAAAGCAAAGGCCCAAGAATAGAACCTTGCGGTACGCCTGAGCTGATATTTATGATATTGGATGAGAAACCATTAATCACAACCCGTTGAGATCTGTTTAGAACGTATGATGAAAACCATCTTAACAAGTTTCCTCGTATTCCATTAAATGCTAATTTCGCTAAAAGTATATTATGATCAACCTTATCAAAGGCCTTAGAGTAATCAGTGTAAATTGCATCTACTTGCAGACGGTTATCCATGCAGCGAAAAAGATAATTTGTGTAAAGAACAAGGTTAGTTGTTGTCGATCGCTGTTTTACGAATCCATGTTGTTCAGGTATAATTATGTTATGTAATATAGGATAAATTTGCTTATGTATTAACCTCTCAAGAACCTTAGGTATGGTTGATAGCAAAGATATAGGGCGGTAGTTAGAAACGTCGTTTTTGCACCCACTCTTATAAACTGGTGTTATATTAGCGTTCTTCCATATCTGGGGAACAGTCCCTTCACTAAGACATTGGTTAAATATAAGACACAAGGGAACACTAATAGCTGCGGCAGAGTGTTTGAGAAAAAATGGTGGAAGGCTGTCAGGTCCAGGTCCCTTGGTAATATCGAGTAATATAAGCTCTTTGACTATGCTATCCTCCGAAAAGGAGATGTTTGACATAACCTCAGAATTGGGATTAGTAGACTGGCTACTATAATTCTCTTGCTTTAACTGCTGTCTATTTTCATATACGGAGCTGAAAAATTCAGAAAATAATTCACAGATACCCTCCGGTGTATCAGATTTTTTATTTTTATAAGTCATTACGTTAGGTATTCCGCTTTTACCTTTTCGATTATTAACAAAGGACCAAAATAATTTAATGTCTTTTTAAGTCCTTCTTCGATGGAATTAATGTAAGTATTGAAGCAATCAGCACACAGTGTCTTAAATCTGTGTCGAAGCAATGAAAACTGGGAATAATCCGCTTTGTTATTATATTTTTTCCACCTTATCCAATATTTTTCTTTTTCTTTAAAAACGTGAATGAGGGTCGAGAAAACCAAACTGGAAAGTTATTACTTTTTGATGAACGAAGCGGTACGTATTTTTTAATAATTTCATAGATGTTTTCATAAAATATATTAACTGACTCTTCAGCAGTTAGCCCTTTCATAAGAAAATACCAATTGATCTCAGAGATTGATTTACAAATGGTGGGATAGTTCGCTTCTAAATATTTGAACTTCTGAAAAGACGAGTGAGCCATAGATTTATACGCGTGGCTTAGAGATATAACCGTGTAGAAAGCTGGATGTAGACGATCCAATGGCAGTAACGGGTTTGAAGGCAGCTCACAAACTTATCGTCAATTAATTAAAAAATTTTAATTTAAATTTTTTTTTTTTAAAAATTTTTTTTTTAAAAATTTTAATTTAAATTTTAATTAAAAAATTATCGTCGTTAGATAAGAACAAGTCTAAAATTCGGCCCAAGGGGTTTCTATTGGTGTTTAATTGTTTGAAGTTTAATGATGATATAAAATTCAGCAGTGATTTGTCATTACTGGTAAGGTTGGGGTAAGAAGGTGTAGATGTTATATTTGATACCGTTTGATCACTGCCCAGCCATTGTAGATTGGGAAGATTGAAATCACCAACAACGTACACGTGCTGATAATTAATTTCCATAATTTTGTTACATAAGGATGTTAAAAAACTTTCATATGTTAAAGCGTTCATATTAGGCGGAATATAGATACCGCAGATAATAGTACTATGACCCTTTTGACTATTAAGACTGAGAAATACATAATCAATACAAGGTGAAAGAGGATAGTCGTATGAACCTATTAGTTCGTACCGAGTAATGGGCAACCCTCGACGCACTGCAATCAAAACTCCACCACCGTCCCGTTTACCTGTCAAGACTCGGTCTCGGTCGCAACGATGTACTACATATCTATCATCTATGAATTCCCTGTCTCGAATATTCGGAAGTAACCACGTTTCACTTAATATAATAAAATCATAACTATCTGATAATATATTTGTATACAGAGTGTTTAGTTTGGTTCTTAAGCCCCTGCAGTTTTGGTAATATATTGCAAAACGATCAGTCATCATCTTTGTTTATTTTTAATATATAAGTATTACTTACACCTATTAAAAAGAGAAAGAAACAAAAATAAAAGAGTAGAAAAAATACGAGTATAAATAAAGTAACAGACATACTGAGACTAATGCATTCTATTCTTTTCCAATTCAACAAGAACAAATATGGCCGATTGTGTATAATAACTGTTAAATTACAAAAATTTGCACAGTTATTTCCAATCAAAGTGTGCAAATAAATTATTAAAAGTAAATTAACAGTTATATTTATTACGCAATGAAATAGTATTTCATAATTTTGTGTTTCGTATTTATAAATCTCATCATGTATTATGTAAATTCCCGTAAAAGAAATAATTTTAGTTTTCATTATAAGTAAGTAAAAATAACAAATATTGCTTAATAGTATTAAAGTGTGTTCAACAAACAAAAATAATAAATTAATAACGCTCGTTAGGTATGTTAGGCAGTGTAACTTGCAAATAAGATTAATACGCTTTACAACATAATATATACGAGTATTATAATTATTGCTGTTAATTTGACAACAAAGTATTTTTAAAATAGAAATTTAAAAAATACTTTGTTGTCAATTTTTTAAAATAGAAAAAAATATCGTAAGTAAATTCTTTGAGTAACAAATAAATTGCCGGTAGAAAAATAATAATTCATAGCGCAAGGCAAAGAAGTGTAAATAACGCAGTGTAATGAAATGTTTAGAGATGACACTAAATAACATAATACTTTTTGATAAATACCTTTGAATAACTTCTTCGAGATAACAAGTCAATGCAAATGGAAATGAAATACTAGTTTCAGCTGTGTACAAGTAGCAGTAAAAATTAGTTAACTGGACAATTCTTCGATTTGATTTTTGAAAGATCTTCACTAGAACGAATGCTGAGAACAGGAGAAGTATCGTTTGCACGCACCAAGATGCTGCCGTGCTTAATCCAAGTGTATCTGAAACCATTCTTCTTAGCAGTTTCCCGAACCTCACGAAATAAAATTTTTCTTTTTAAAGTCAGGTGCTCATTAAAATATAACTTGTGTATAGTTCCGGGCATTTGCAGTTTTTCTGTTGTTAAACTTTTCTCTTTGCGAGCTGCTGAAAGAAAGCTATCGCGTAACATCCGACTCGCAAACTTAACAATAACATTCTTAGGGCGCCCACTTTTAGGATTAAACTGAGGTACACGATGAATTGCGACGACGTCGTATTTATTAATTGGGTGTTTGACGACAGCAGCTACGTTTTCTATAATCGAAATTAAATTTTCATTTCGTTTTTCTGGAAGATTAACAATTTCAATGTTGCACTGGCGTGAATTAAGCTCTAAAATATCAAGCTTGTTTCCTACCTCCATAATCAGATCGTCTTTGTTTTGGGACGATTTATATATTTTTTCTAATTCAAATAATCGACTGCTGATCTCTTCGGTTTGGGTTTTTAGTTCGTCGTATTTGTCATTAATAAATTGTATTGAAGTCTTCAATTCTTCGAAATCTTCAATGAACTTGGTTATTTTATTATTCTGTTTGTCGAAGAACTCCTTCATTGATGCCATTATCTTCTCTTGGAAAGAATGAAATTCATTGCGTAGATCCAACACATTTTGATCAGCTACACCTTTACGGAACGTCACGTAGTCAGGCGGAGATTCTTTTTCTATCAGAGAACTGTCTATACTCATTTCACCACAAGGAGATCTATTAGAATACCGGGTAGGGCTGTTTTGTTTGGTGCGAGCGTTATTAAGAGACATGACAATAAGTTAGTAATAGTGATTGATTTCTCTGTATATATATTGCTCTGTGCAATATATATACAGAGATATAGATATGCTGGTATATATAGAGATATGCTGTTTTGCGAAATAGACGCTTTCATTTATCATTCCGGTAACCCGGTGGACATATTTAATTTGGTTTGGTATTGTATTTTGCGGAATAGACGCTTTTACATCGTGTATGTTAAATATATATAACAAAAATAAATGTTAATATTACTGAAATCTATAATACGTCTTTAATTGAACCCTAATCCCTTAAAATACAAATATAACCGCCTATAGTATGCTATATATAGTAGTGGCTGTATATACATAACTACATACAGCCATCTATAGTCAACATGATATTGAGATTAGTTCAAGGGATATGATACCAGACTGAGAAAGTAGCGCGTTTTGACGTATGACATAATTACGAAATTCTCTACAAGTGTAAAAATCTACAAATTGACGGTAAACTAGGCTTATATTTCCAATAAGGACCATCGATTTCAAAGCCCATTTTTTTGCTGATATTACTCACTAAAAGAAAACGTTTTGCAAAGTTTTAGGTTGCGGAAACTTACGGTTCATGAGATATATTTTTTTAAACTTTTCATACAAATTGGCAAATAACACGCAATTACAAAATAAATTTGACAAATGATTGATGGCAAACGTCAATTAGTGTAGGGTTCTGAAAATTTTGAAAGTATCGATACCTACTCGATATCAAGTATCACATCAAAAGTATCAATACTACTTGGTATCGAGTACATTTCGTTAATTTTGGAGACGAAAAATTATAACAAACCATTTTTTTTATTTATTAAACTTAGGACCACAAACAAGTTCACAATTATTAACTTATCTAATATAATTACTACACGTTTTTTTATTATTGTGAACTCAGCAACGCTGGTCACTTACTTAATTATAACATTTTTTCAACAATAAATAAAGCTTGTTACAGAATACAACTTGACATTGACAGTATCTTGTTATTCTTAATCCAGAAGTAAAATCTAAACACAGTATCGACTGACGAATATTGTAGGGTTATGGTAGGATATATGACACCACTGCTCATTTAGATGCATATGAAGAGCTGATAAGTGCAATTAAATATGTATATAAAATAGAATAAAGTTTACTGTATTTTAGTTCCACCTTAGTACTTGTATTTCATTGTTTGCAACTTGTTTGTATTTTTTAATTAGTACAGCTTTTGTACTTGTATTTTATTGTTTGCAACTTTCTGTATTATCTAATTCTTACTACAATAAAGTGTTTACTTACTTATTTAATATCCAAAAAGTACCCAAAACCGAATCAGAGCACCCCACTATCCACGTGGTCTTGTCTGCCCTACGCCTAGAGTGTATATAAGAGCCCGGAGGCGCGGAGGGAGAGCAGTGCCCGCCCGCCGTACCTAGGGCGGAGGGACTGCTCATCCCGCAGCGCCGGAGCTGCCACGGAGCGCCGGAACACGACTACCCAGCTTCTAACCCCCCCCCCCCCCCACTACCCCGCTACTAACCCACCACACCACTTCCCCGCTACTAACCCCCCCCCTCCTCCCATAAGTGCATAAGTGCATGCCCATAAAGTATGACATTCACAAGTACTGTCAGTACTACTAAGAAATTCAAGACTTCATAGGCGTGATTTTTACTGACAGCTGTCGCAGAGATCAAGCTATCTTTTATGTACCTACCATAAGTACATATTACTTCAATGTGCAAAACGCTTGCTTTTAGTGAGTACTATCTACAAAAAAATATGGACATTTAAATCGATGGTCCATATTGGAAATTTTAACCAGTTTTGTAATGGCTGAAAATTCATTTACTGAATAATAATTATATATAGGTAATTTTAGACCAAAGGAACAAAGGCAGTCGCTCAAAGTTCGGATATCAAGCGCGCGCGGCTATTCGGAGCGTATGCGTGCATTCGGGTCACTGTATATATCTATGTCGGCGAAAGAGGATCATCTTCAGATTCACTCATGATGGATGGCGCAAATGTGTGCGCGTTACAATAAAAATAACAAGAAAATACAATAAGCAAATCGTTAGCAATACGTCGCAAATAAATGGTACACTTCCCGATGATGTTTTTCTCGAAAAACAACAATGACTGCCACGTTACCAATGATACGTCGCTTATCTTACTGCCACGTTACCAATGTACGCTTTTAAAGACTATAGCCAAGGCAAAAGGGGTAAATAAATGTATCACTAAAAAGATGACCATGGATAGTTATAAGTCTTCTCTATTTAATAAAAAAGTGCAATATTATAGTATGCTTAGATTTAAATCAATTAAACACACAATTTTTACACAAAAATTAAATAAGATTGGTTTATCATATAATGACACAAAGAGGCATATTTTAGATAATAATATTGAAATATTAGCATGGGGTCATTATAAACTGCGTTAAGTGTTGATAGTTTTTAATTTTATGTCTGCATGTAAATAAATTTTGTATTGATTGTAAAATAATGATAATAGTATAATATGACGTAGAGTTTATTACATATTTAATCGTTGTTTTATTGTAAATAATTTAAGTTAATTGTTGTTTATATTTGCGTGTGTGTGTATTTATTTGAGGTTGAGTTGATTGTAAAATTATGATGTACTAATTGTGTTAGAAATAGTATACAGATCATTCTGTTTTATATAATTTTTGCAATATATATTAATTGTTAACACCAACACTTTCATTTTTTATTTTACCCCTTAGAACTTTAGACGTGTGTAATGTTTCACTTTATCCATCCGTTTACTGCTATTGTGGCAGGACCAAGTGGATGTGGGAAGTCAAATTTTGTAACAAATTTCATAAAATCAGTTACAGAAATATGTAATTGTGATTTTAATCAGATCACATGGTGCTTTGATGAAATGCAACCTTTATATAATTTACCAAATGTTAACTACCATCAAGGAATTCAAATGTTAATACGTTTGATGGTGAAAACCCACATCTTGTTATTATTGATGATCTAATGAGAGAGTCCGATGGAAGAATTGTGGATATATTTACAAAAGGTAGTCATCACAGGAATCTTAGTGTATTTTATTTAACACAAAATTTATTTCATCAGGGTAAAGGGCAAAGAGACATATCCTTAAACTCAAGTTATATAATATATTTTAAAAACCCTCGAGATAAAACTCAAATAAGATATTTAGCACGACAAGTGTCACCAGATAACCCAAAATTCATTGAAGACGCCTACAGGGATGCAACTCTAGAGGCGCATGGATATTTAATGGTAGATTTAAAACAGAATACCAATGATTTTTGTCGTATCAAGACAAATGTCTTCCCATTTAATGGTTTCTGTACAGTCTACGTCCCCACAAAAGAGTTTAAATACACCAAGAATCAAACATTTCAAATCATTGCTAAATGATGCATCGTCGACTCACAACGCATAAACATTTGCTAAACGCTTTGCATACGCTTAAACCAAAATATCAAAGAGCATTACTTAAAACGTGTGATGAAGAAGAAATTAACTGTATTTGTGAGTGTATTCATAACGTTTTACAAGGAAAAGTACCTCTTAAGATCAAGATAAACAAAAATTGAATAAACACAAAAATATATTCCGTCAACTAGTGCGTAAGTGTAAACATAAACTAAGAAAAAATATAATTATACAAAAAGGAGGGGCTTTCTTACCAATAATATTAGGTGCAATATTGAGTGGATTAGTGAGTGGACTAGCCAATTAACATGGAAAATGCAAAGAAAATGATACTTATCAAACCTGGATTGATTGAAAAATAAAACAAGAAAAAAAGGTTAATAGTAGTTTATCTCGATTAGATATTGAAATGCAAAATATTATGAATAGTAAGACGGAAGACCGAAAGAAATGGATGTTATATTTACAAACACTGCAAAGATACCTTCATTTTACCGAAGAGGATCGTCAACCACTCAGATTACCAATTTATTCTGATACATCTAATGAAGATTCAAATGAGTCTAAAATTGGTTTTAAAAATAAAGATAGAGATCTAAAAACTTCAGTTGATGCTGAATCTTTGTTGGAGGAGACTTTACACACCAGCTCAAATACTCAGTTTAATACCAAAAACTTATAATAAAAAAGGACAGTTATTATTAAACTTAGTTGAAACAAGTAAAAGTAAAATACATTGGGATAATGAAGGTACAGTCATAACTGATAATGAAAAAATTCCTGGAAGTAATATTGTTGATTTAATAAATGATTCACTAAGACCCTTAAAAAGAAGTAATCTAGTAGGGTGGGATAGATTTGCTGAAGCATTAAAAGATATTAAAGTACCACTTACTTATATTGGAAATCCAAATAGATGTGAGTTTATTAACCAACTTCAAGCAAAAGATCTGAACAAACCCTCTGAGATTGAATTTCAAGAGTTTTCTACACCGAGCAGTAGAGATAAAAAGTCTACAACTAAAATACGTAAAAGGCTTGAGTGGGAAAAATGGACCCCGTACTAGAAGAAATTAACAGGATTTATTATGATCCATCTAATCCCGCTGGTTTTGGTAGTATTGATAAATTATCAAAAGCCATGAAGGGTAAAATGAATAAAAAGCAAGTAAAGGAATGGTTAAAATCACAAGAAACATACACATTACATGACAACCCATTCGAAAAAAATTCCCGCGTAATAGGTACATTCTATCAAATATTAATGAACTGTGGCAAGCTGATTTAAGTGATATGCGAACTTATTCTCAATATAATGATGGTTTCAAGTATATACTTTATGTTATTGATGTATTTAGTAAATATGCTTTTGCAAGACCAATGAAAAAGAAAAACTCAGAAACAACTAAAGAATGTTTTGAAAGTATATTTACAGAAAGTAATTTAACACCTACTCACATACAATCTGATAAA